AAAACTGACCATTGTTTTAAAACAGCGACATCTAGTGGTGGGAACCTGAACACATTCAGAAAACTAGGTCCTACGATTTTATAAGAAAAACATAACTGATGTTTAAAAGCGAAAGCTGTGGACGGCGCAAGTAGAGCTTGGGAAGTTGTAATGCCAGATATTACTTGATAACAAGTAAGTTTAACATTTGTGTTAAGTACTTTTACTTTTTGGTACAATACTAAATGCTAATTTCGAAGATTCTAAAACATGTTAGTTGTTATTCTTTGTACACAGGGACGGCGTTAGGATAAGGCTGGGTTGGACAATTGCCCTAGAGACAGCACCGAATTGAGTGCCACAAGCTAATCATACTTTTTAGATAACCATGCTTACCCCCTTAAAAGTGCTTAAAAGGGGCTCAGTATAAATCTCGCCCAGGGCGCTAGTAGCCCTAAATTTGGTACTAATTACACTTTGTAATGGAAGAAAATTCAAAAGAGTAATTGTAGAAAAATTGTAATACATTCGTCTATTTTAATTCTGAGTAGAAACCTCTTAATCATGTCAATGATTTAAGGCGTACTGACTAAACTGACGTAGAAGGGGAAATCCTATTTGTTTCGTTGTTCGATAAAAAAAAGTGTTACAAGATCAGACAAAGGAAAAAAGATTACGTCATTCTCGGACGTTAAGGAAACGGCCATGAACAAAGTTGACTGTACTGACAGTATACATGAATTACACTCCTCGAATCATACTTTTACTAATGTTATAAATGTCAGATCAGATGGATGGATAGAGGTTTGTCAGAGTTTGTAGCCTAAACGGCTGAACGGATCTCGATGAAATTTGCATAGATGTAGAGGATACTCTGGGAAAACAGATAGGCTACTTGTTTTTCTTTTTTCTTTTTAGTTCTACGCGGACAGAGTCACGAGAAACAGCTCGTCTTCAATAAATTACTTTAATATTAATACTGACAAATATTGCTAACAAGAAACCTTGATGGAGTAATAAGATTCTGTAATAAATATCAAAGTGAACACGAAATGTTACCTTGAGTTTATTATTGAAGCATATATTTTAAAGACATCAATGTAGTTTCGCGCGGTCACGTCCGCGCACGCAGCTGTGACGTCACGGTGTGCAGACACAGACTGTTCCGAGGAAATCAACTGCAATACACAAATTATGAATTCTCTTCATTTAATATCCTTGAAACCTTTTGAATTACTGTTCATTTAAAGATTAAATCAGTGTTCATTATACGATTTTCTCTAGCTTTTATTTGTTTTATGGCAACCATTAGCAGTTTAATAAACTCTAAGGACATGAAGGGTCTGCACAGAGTGAAAGCGAGCATTAGCGATGTCCGTCATATGTGCTGCCATTGGTATGCAAGAGGACAAACACACGAAGACACCAGGCTCGTACTCGATAGCTTATAATAAAGAATTAATTTTCATGCATATTCAGTAACAAAATTTAACATAAAAAAAATCACGTTACACTATTTGAAGTGTAAAATTCAAATCATATCAAGATCGTAGATGTTTAATTGAAAAATAATAAATAAAAATTCTAAGTAAATTCTTTTAGTGCGAATTATTTTAACTCAAAATTTACATTAATTCATTTTTGCATTGGCACATAGCACTTGTTAGCGAGCGTTATTTTATAAGTAAAATAAAATGTAACTCAATACGACCCTGTGCACATTAGGCTTAGTCAGAGGTTGCGGGTTGCGTCCGCGCATCCTAATGACCTCAGGTGGATTGATGTAATGCCAGTTTCACACGAGGACAGAACCGTGAAGCGGTGCAGTATGATTATTTTGAATGCACACATAAAGTCAACCCAATACTTACTTTTTTGGTTCAAAGTTCAAATGGTAGCAGTGCAGCCCTCTTAGATAAAGTAACATTCGATTATTCGCTATCGCTGATCGAAAATTCAAAAATTGCGTATCAAAAACTCCCGTATTTATTCCTAAACATTGTGTCTATTCTACAAGCGACATCGCTAATAGAAAATCACTTTGTCTAGGAGGGCTGCACTGTTAACTGTCCTTCTTCTTCTTCGAGTGCCATTTCAACCATTATGGCAACTTGAACCTCCGACACTGTTGCAGTAAGGAACGGGTGCTTTTATGGCGCAGATTTTTAAGCCATGATTCTTCTTCCTGGATTTCGTTTTCCTTGTATTTCCCCTGTGCCTGTAATAATTTATATTTCTTGCCTCTCAATATGGCCAAGGTACTCTAACTTTGTTACTGTCCTACCTCAGTGTGAATATAAGGACGTGTGTAATGGTAACGTCCAAAGAGCGGCCCTAATCGAATTCTAACTGCTGTAGTGTGGGCTGAAGTCAAAATATTGCAAATACTACATTATCTTTGATAGAAACAACGATTTTAATGTATACCACAAATACTTCTTTACAACATTATAAGGATAACGTAAATGTTGCTTGATTGTTATTTATAGAAAAAATATATTACAATATCATAATTACATTGTTAAGACAGACAAGATACTGTGTTTTTTAAGTAATTTATTTGTCCAATTTAATATTTTCTAAAGCGTATGGATGTCAAATGCAACTTATAAAGGCTCTATTGTTTAAGAAGGCTTTGGTAGCGAGGTCTCGAGTACAATGGCCCGACTGTCGGCTGTTTTTTCTTTGCGACTAATAATTTCATTTCAACAATTCTAATTTACATCAAAATAATGTAAAATATCGCTTCTACAATTAATTACTATACTCGTATTTATTACTCCGCGTGGATTAGAAAAAAAAACAAAAGTAAGTCTATGTTTTCTTCCAGACTATCCTATCTATCTATGCCAAATTTCATCAAGATACGTTTAGTAGTTTAGGCTACAAACTAACAAACATCATCAATCCGTTTGGAAGAACACATAGGCTACGTATTTTTTTTTAATTCCATACGGATGGAGTCGCGGGCGAAAGCTAGTTATTAATACTTATCGATTTCACCTTGTGCAATTCGCTCCTTTTGTACGTGTTTTTTTATCCGTCATAATTTTATTCCGATGACAACAAAAGTTTCTAACAATAAAATATAAGACAAGTGAAAACCAGATTAAAATTAGAAAATCGTAGCAAAAATAGAACTCATAGTAATAACGGTTCACGGTTCAAATGTTGGGTTAAGTCGCGAGTTGAACCGAGATCTCATGCGACAAGACAATGCGTATCTCATCGCTTGCTTTCTAATGCAGACTAAAAAATTGTGCCACAATGACATTACATCTATATAATCTGTATACATCAAAGACATTTAAAAATGTATAAAAAGGCATACTGAAAAACATTTTTTTTACCGATACTTTCTCTAAAAGGTATTATATCTGTCAAGTTTAGTGCCACCTCGTGTCCTGGTATTTACTTTTAATAAAAATGAATATTTAAAAAAAACAAAGGATCTATCAATAGATGGCGTTAGTGAAGGTAAATGTCTCAAGTGAAATGTTAACAATACCTGCTGTATATCTTTTGAATCTTTTTGATACACATTTACTACAAAACAATCATTAGTTTTGTTTTAGTCAGAGATATTTGCTGTACTTTTTTTAATATTAGGGGGAAATCTTCAAAAAGTTACCTTTACTTCTGGGATTCGCTGAACTTAGGAATGTTTACTAGAACATGTTGACATGTAAAATTACATTGCACCATAGAGTTACAACAATAGAATAGTTTTATTAGTTGAATTTACGTTTGTCCTCATTTAGCAACAATAATCACATTTTCTATAATATGTTTCTGTTACCTCCTATTTAAAGTCACACTTTAGAAGTATATTAAATTTTATACGAATAGGTAACTTTAAAATGAATTAAAAAAGAATAACAGTATGGAAAACAATATTTATCCAGGTGTCCACCATTTGCTGGTCTGACGCACTTCTATTGTACAAGACTTTTATAACTGTTGACAATGTCTGCCTGCTGTTTCAATATGAACCATTCAATATTTTGCTAAATAATATAAAATTACTGCATTAAAACAATATAGAAATTATCGATTTTATTGTTATTCGTAAAAGGTGATAATCTTTTCATAATTTACATGCATTATAATTTAATTTTGTTGCATACATATATATCTATACTAATATAATAAAGCGTAAACATACACTTCTTTGTTGCCTAAGATGTCAGCATTTACAGCATATTTTTGAATAACTCTTTTTTTAATAAAAAGCCCTACACTTATCTTACGCTTTAGGCTATATATTTTCACGCTATTAAACTTAGGGGTAAATATTTTGGATAAAAACTCTAATGTGGGAAAGAGACCATAAGCTGCTGCCAACATCAAGGAAGCAAGAATGCCAAGGTTGTCATGTCGTGTCATATTGACATTTGCAATTGATAATTTGACAAATGTAAACAATAAAATGAAATTTTTATAATTTCATGCGGATGAATTCGCATGGGAACAGATAGTTTTGATATAAATCTAAAAGAAAGAATTCTATCAATTTCTCCACTGATATGCATTAACATGACTAAATATTAAGAAAATTCCTCACTGTCACTTTCACAAACAACCAACTAAAGTATTTGAGTATTTATCTGTTAGACACGCCGGAACTCGATTGTTAATTAGTCAATTGTCCTCAGTTTCTATAAACTTGGAAACAATCGATAAGCAAATGGACGGAAAGTAGGAACAAACACGTGTTTCCTCTACTAGGTAAATAAGTTACGGCTGTCAATTTACAAACGGTTTAACCTTATGGGATATTGCAATTGCATATGTTTTAAGAATTAAGCTTTAAACGAACTCAGAGTCAGTTTTATCATCGCAAAAGGAGACTTTCAGTTGAGTTAGCATAAGTTTTCACCAAAGGTCACATTAACTGATCATTTGAGGGCATTTGAAGGTCGTTCGTTGTGTTGTCTGTTGTAAATCTTGCGCATTGTATCCATTGATTTAAGGATGTTATTGTTTTATTAGTTATTAATGTAAAATACTGTTTGTGGCAGGAGTTGGAGCAGGAGAAGCACCTGCTGCGGCGGCGGCTGGACACGGCGCAGGGCGAATACGAGGCGCGTTTGCTGGAGTTGCAGAATGACATCCAACACCTCACTAACAAGATCGATTCTAAAGACACAAGTCTCAAACAGGTACCTACGGCAAGATGCTCTCATAGACAGCACTTCTTTACACGTTCGTTGTCACCAATCAGCGCATTCTTAAAAATTGTACTATTGAATACGTTTTGTAAAATTGTAAAGATCATTATAATTACAACCGTGTGAATTAAAATTCTATTAAAATGCATAGTATCTGTCGATCTTAATAGGCTCCGATGCCCGCAAGGCTAATTGTCCAGTCCCAGTGTCGGTGCTGAACAATGAGTTCAGCCGTTGACCTCTAAATCACGAAATAACTATTGTTAAATTCATGAGTTTTTTCGCCGGACGTGGTAGTCCTACGAGTGGAGTCAAGGCTGTTTGTGGGGTCCGATTATTAGCGTTTTCTAGTGTCTATAAGTTAGGATAAAAGAAGTTTTAACAAACATAATGCAGTAGGGCTGTTATCGACTTTCATCGTTAGTAGTCTTTACAGGTATATTAATCAGTCCAACTATGGAAAGATAAACAATTGAATCGATATCGTGACCTTTTACAAAGTAATTTTACCTTTAATATTCAGACTGACGTACTAAGGTCATGGCTCACTGACTAATCGATTGAAGGAAGTACTGTCAATTGGCCTTGGAAATATTAATCGCTGTCAGTGGAACCTTACGTTAACGAAACCATACATTTTAGTGAAGTCACGAAATTTTCAACGATAATCCTGACGAGGATTTGAATCCGATTACCAGCTTAACCTGGTCAACTGTTAACGTTCAGTAAATAGAAATTAAGGGGATTTTAACAGCACGTTTGCTTTAATACATAGAAGAGTTAAAAGTTTATTTTCCACATTAAATTAACGAGGAATAAGTACCTATCCAGTATTATGTTTCAGAGTAAATCTCTTTATTGTAGAAACAAAGTCGCTTCCCGCTACCTGTCTGACAATATGTATGCTTAGATCATTAAAACTACGCAATAGATTTTGATATAGTAGAGAAATACTGATAATTTTAAAGGTTCCTAATGTGATTTCGTAAATTTACACATTTTCGTATCAGCATTAGACCCGTGCGCCGACAGGGCGGGTCGCGTCTCCTTCGAAAATATACTTTTCATTGTGACGTCAACGACGTCACTAATTAAAAGGTTCCGATGAATTAGGTTCCGTTGCGTGTCCCGACAAGGTCGCCTGGCCACGCCTAGGCACCCTAATTGCCCGCCATCTACACTGTGACGTCATAGTACTAGGCGCAGCCGACTAGTGGTAATTAATTTAAAAGCTGTTTTTTTTTATAAACCCAAACATCGATGGATTATTATGTTAATACTAAATCTAGAGGCCCTGTAAAAAGCTGTACGGTCACAATAATTGGAACCCAGGTAGGTAGCTGAAATTAAAAAGGGCAATGTTGAAAAGAGTTGAAATTATAAAATTTAACAAAAAGGACAATTAATGATCCTGCCTTTTTACAAATGAATACGAATTACTTCATCCATAACCACACCTAAATGCGTCCCTTATTCTGACCAACGTCTATGTTGTAAAATGATAAATGGTAACATAAAGTGGTAACTTTATTGCTTAGACGCCGGCTCAATCAATCGATCACGCCGTTTTAAGCAGCTCAATATTACCAACAGATCAACTTATCTGCAATATTTGCTAACCAAACAGAATTGTTTGCAATATTATTAGTAAATTACAACGAAATATTACAATGTCAAATAGAAGAGCGCTTGATTAACTCTGTCGTAATCAATTGATAGTTGTTAAGAAGATTTACAACAAATAATAACTAAAATTGTTAATATAAGTGATACAATAAAATTCCTCTAAAGAAATGAATGTGCTTTGGTAATAGATTACAAACTTACTTGAAGGTTGGTCGGTTACGACGGAAGTCGATAATATTGTAGGAGCTCCCAGGACAGTCGGAAGCTCTTGTCGGTCTAATATCAAAGAGTTTATTATTACATTGCTCTAAGAACGTATCTACTGAATAATAATTAAGTCTTCTATGTTATTTCTATCGATTTACACTGCACAATGAACTCTACAAAGACGATTGAACGATCGTATTGGTGGACTCTTTTAAATGATTGACCACCTTTTCCTCTTAAGTAATTACAAAGCTAAGTTGTCTTGCATTTTTAACTTTAATGTTCATACGTTACAAGTCAAAATATCGACATATGTTGCCGTGAAGGTGACGTAGGAATTCAATTGTTTTTTAACAGTAGAAAGATTTCGGATTATGAATACAAACGAAATTATCAAAACTAACATCTCATCTAATCCGAAGTTGCGTACCGGCGTCACGGACGCTTACGACCTCAGACCCACAGGAAACCGAGGTTTTGTAACAACTTTGTCCATCACTATTACGATAGTCTGAAGGGTTAATTTAGCATAGCAATCAATCCGCTATTTCCACGCGTTAACGTGATTAACCACGCGGACTGAAGCAGTCTTTGAGCTCGGCCGAGCACCGGAGTTGAGTTTTTCTGGAAGCGTTAACAAGCTTTTTATATGTTTGTTTAATGTTTAATTGATTTTTTAAAACATTTAAAAGTAGGATTCAACCTTTTTTTACTAACAATGATCTGTAATTAGATATAGAAGTCAGTATTATTTAATCAAACTTCTAACTAATATTATAATTGCAAAAGTTTAGAAGGATGGATGGATGTTTGTTAGAGTTTGTAGCCTAAACGGCTGAACGGATTTCGGCGGAATTTGGTACAGATGTAGAGGATAGTGTGGAAGAACACGTAGGCTACTCGCTTTTTTTTTTATTCCCCGTGGAAAGCTAGTCACAAATATTTCTCAGCGGTGTCCTGCCCCATTCTGTCTGAATGTCATTTAATCTTTGTAACATCGTCACGGGTCAATGTAATATTGATGTAAAGTAGATCAACAACTACGTTATTAGATCAAGAAAAAAACGTAAGCAAGGTCAGTTTTAATATTGAATACTGAATTATACGAAATGTTTTTCGTTAAGAGTAACGAGTCACTAAACAAACTAAAACAAACTCTATAATTTCAGATGTAAAGACTTATTTACAATATAAGTTCTACTGTACGAGCTACATTGATTAATTTCTCACAATAAATCTTAACTCGCCAATATTTTGGAATCCAACGACCGAAAAACTCCTAATAAGATCAGGGTTTCTCATAAAAACATTTGTTTTCAACTATTTAACTACATTATAATTGTTCTAAATGTCTTGGGTTGTAATTCATGAATTAGTAAAAATTCTAAGGCAGACTAACATCGAAAACATCAATGAAAGAGCTAAGAACTATTTTGAGTATGTTTATAGACAGATTTTAAATAATATTTTACATTAATAAACAATTTCTTTCAATTATATCAGCGCGATGAAGAGAAGGCGGGTCTGATAGCTGACCTGACGGCGCAGAACTCCCGGCTGACGACGCAGCTGCAGGCCAGCGCGGCCACCGAGGCGCAACTGCTGGCACAACTCGACGACCTGAAAGACCAGTGCTCCATGCGGAAGACCAGTCTGCAGGTTAGCGAAACTCACTTTGTAAAACAGAAATAACAAAAACGCATCTACGGTGAGAGCGTTGGTGACTCAAGGGTTTAAGCACTTGCCTTGTAATCTATAGGTCTTGGGTTCGAATCCCGCTGTACCAATATGATTTACCCGACGATCTTACGATCAAGAAACATCGTGTTGCCGTGATGCCAGAAATTCAAAGATATGTGAAGAGTCAACCTGCAGTGGGCCACCATGATTGACTATAGCCTAGTCACTCTAACTTAGAGAAGATACCGAGCCCCGAGTGGGGATGTATAGTGAGCTGATGGTGACTCATGAACATTTTATCTGTTTTGTCCCTTCAGGAACATATGCAAAGCCTGAAATCACTGAAAGCGGAGTTAGCACTGGTGAGTGACAAGAAGAGCGAGTTGGAGCGGCGGCTGGCGGGCGCGATGCGAGACAAGGACGGCCTTATGCAGCAGTTAGATGAGGCAGCCGATAGGATCGCCGCACTCGAACGACAACTCAAGGAACAGGTATACCTAACTCCGAAATAAAATACAAAATTTTTAAACCGAAATCACTAACTAAAAGGCAAGAAATAGTGAAATGAAGCTGAGGCAGATCGCTAGTTGATTAATTAAAAGTTATATTGAATCTTGACTTGTTTATACACATTAGGCACTTGTACGATTACAAAAGCGCGGCCCAGACAGATTACAAAGTGACGGATAATCCTTTAGATCCGCATCTGATGCGATCAACGTGAACCGACGTTGTAAACACGCTGTTAAGCCTTTTACAATATCATAGTAATAGTATCAAAAGCTAAAAAACAAAACACATTTCATAGAATTTTAAAATTCAATTCAGTTTCTGAAGTCTGTGATTCTATTTCCGGATAGAGGAATTTGTTCTTAGTAAATCCATTATAAACATTCACAAGACTTCCAAGTATTTTTATAGTCAGTCATATGGGTTTTCCTCACGTTTTTTCTTCGCAAGTGTTTCAGTGTTTTAATAAAATGCCTCAATTATATTATCATAGAATTTTTTATTGTTCAGTAACTGAAAATCCCATTTAGTATAATCAAACAGACCCTATAAAATCTATAATTCAAACACGTATGCATGTTGCTACATTTCATCACGGGTAGGATATTAATGTCCTCGACTGTGACGACAGTTCTGAGAGCGGAAACGTTTGTATGATAAGCTTTGTTGAGATCCCTTTCACTGGCAACTTGAGCAATACTTGAAGAACAATAGAGGCTCCCATAACAAGCCCATTGAAATATCCACATTTTATCATCACATTCAAATGGTCCGAAGACGTGTAATTTAAGAAGAGATTTTGCTATGAATATAAGATTTTAATCACAAAGTAATTTGACACCTTGTTTCTTTTTTTGTTACTAAAACCATCTTAAAATTTCTATTTCTAACATCAATCACAACTACAAGTGTAAAGTCGGGCATGTCCACTTGGAGTATACAGACATCCAAAAGGTGAAGGTAATAAGAATAAATTGGATGTTAGCTGCAGTTGACATCATATACTTAACTTCTACTAATTCCCTAGGAGCACCTGTACCAAAACACATTGAAGGAATTGGAGCGTCTTCAACGTTCTCACGACACATTAGCGGAGCGCGTTGGTGCGCCGGAAGCCGAGCACACGGACAGCGCGCGGTCCCTGCACGCGGAGCTGGAACCAGATGACCAGGATGAGGGTGAAGGCGACGGTTGGCTACGCTCAGAGGCAGTACAAGTCTTCAAACAGCTGCGTTCACTCGCGCTGCAGCTCAACACAGGGCATGATGATGACTCTGGTAAGATTAATCTAATATCAAGAGGAAAGATTTGTAGTTTTATGTTTTTGTATGTATTGAAATAACACAAAAACTGGGCCGATTTCAAAATTTCTTTCACTAATAGAAAGCTACGTTATCGCTGAATAACATAGGTTAGATTTTTAAATTTCGCGTGTACGAAGTCGCGAGCAAAGTAGAAATATGATATAAATCTATACCTAGCTTTTGCCTGCCATTCCAGCCGCGCGGAAACAAAAAGAATAGGTAACGAGTCTATGTGTTCTACATTTTTGCCAAATTTCAGCAAAATCAAGATCCTTTGAAAGTACCATCAAAACTTACGCATTTATAATAAAGAAGGCACTTATTAAGGTAACGATAACAATATAATCAGGTTTCCGAAAACCAATTTGGAGTGTAGCGATCGTATCAAAAATAACGGTGTCGTGTCCTCGAACACTTCATTAACATAACGGCAAAGGAACCTCAATAATGTTGAGAGTAAAATGACCAAATAACGTTAAGTCTTTTAGAATTTACTTCTATTAAAATCATTTTCTTTAGTCTATAACATTTTAAAGTAATCTAAATACGTTCAGTAATGCCAAATAAAGATTTAACGTGCAAAAAATCTGCAGCAATGATAAAACATTTTTATTTTTAAACCTTTTTAACACCTCTTCAATCATTTTAAAATACAATGAAATCGATACCGACGTTAACAAGAGAAAGAGAAGACAGTATTTCTTGTAAACCAGTTAGAAAGAGATGGTGTAATAGTTTTATTTTCGTTGTTGGTGATGTGTGCGGCGCGGCGGAGCGTGAAGGAAATCGAAAGCCCGCGGCGTGCTGCGGCGTGCGGCAGCCGCCCAGGGCGGACACACGCTGACCGACACGAACATACACACATTTCTATCTGATATATATTAATTATTCATTTATTAATAGTTTCAATCATCAATACTTAGTATGCTGAATTATTTAATATTCAATCGATCGTAGAACATCTTCGCACGAATGGGCCGAATTGCCTGGTGTACTACGATCTACAGAAAAAATAAAAATGGAAGTAATTCCCCGTATAGTCTGAGGAGTGTTCGCGCCGGAGGTCTAATTTTAGTCCCTTTCCCATTCCACTCTTTTCTTAAGAGGAGTAACCCATCTGTGATTGCAGATGGCTATGGGTAGCGATCGCCATTTCAGCGGTCTCAAGTGACCGCTTGCTCGTTTGCCACCTTAAGAATGTAAAAAAAAGCTAGTAAAGTGGGGCACTGGCACAATGTATACCAGGCATTACTAAGCTCCCAAGTCACAAATAACATACATTTTATATGACAGGGAATATTTTGCCTTTTGTGTAGGATTTTGCGTTGTGACGTCACTAGCTAAAAATAATGTCCAACATGCAAAGTGGCCGACCCTTGTGACCGATACTTGCCCTCTGTAGCTTATGTCTTTATTACAGCTAGACACGATTGTAAGCTCCATTTTTACGTAACAAGCTTTACTATTACTGCACATAGATGTAAGTGTTTGATGAACTTACGTACTTTCTGTATACTATCGATGGCTCCGACGTATACAATCGTAAGCCACAATTTTGCAACTTGTCTTTTCGCTTTTTAATTATCTTGATTTCTATGTCAAATTAAAAGTAACGACAGATAGAAAAACTGTAGATTTTGTTTATCTATCGTATGTTATACGATCTTTAACGTTGAAGCTATTGATATTTTTTTTTTATAATATGTCTACGCATCATTCGCGTCCAACTTCATGAATATCAACGGACATCCCATTGGCCGGCGCGATGACGTTTTTTCTGCATTTGAAACTACAGCGCAACGTCACTTTACTTACCGTTGACAGTTATAACATGTTGTTTAAACTTTCTTACAAAAATTGTAAAAATCACAATACACGCAAGTGAGCTATCATTTATATACAGTTTTATTTCAATCCAAACATAATAGGAGTTGGCAAACGAGCAAGCGGCCACTTGAATCCACCGAAATGGAAAGCGACCGCTGCCCATAAACATCGGCAATTGCAGATGCGTTGCCTACACTAATTGACGGAGGAGGAGACGCACATAAAGAGGACATTTCCCCTTCCTATGCGTCACCTCCACCGTCAAATCTACTTTTCCCTCCCATCCTTTCCCCTTAAGAAAAGGGTGGAAAGGAAAAGGGACTAAAATTAGGCCTCCGGCACCACACTCATCAGACGAAACGCGGAATTGCTTCCACTTCACGCCTGTTTTCTGTGTGGTCGTGGTATTACACCGGGCGAGCCGGCCCAATCGTGCAAAGATGTTAAAGCGGGCTCCACCACTGTAGAAACTGATATTTCAAACAATCGATTAGAAATAGAATCCAGAATGGCAACTCTAAAATTAAAAATGTGCCAGTCATGTTTTCTAGTAGACAAATAAAGCCCAATTGCTTACAAATTTAGACACACAAAAAAACTGTATTATCCAATACTTTCTTACGGCTTATCTAACCGAGATAATTCAATCTGAACGAGTGTGAAGTATTCACTATAGGAGTAACAAGCAGTAGGGCAGATCACATCGCGTGACTGTTGTAGGGCACGTGCTCAAATACATTGCTTTAATTCAGATTATACACGGAACTATAACACTTATGACCTTAAGAATTCGTTCCTGTTTCGTTTAAATCCAGTTCTACGATGTTTTTTTGTTTCCGCCATTTTCATCGAGGGGAGTTTGTTGGATCGTTATGTTTGGTTGCTACAAGCTTCTTATGACCTACTAGTGATTTGTATGCGAAAGTAAGGGCGCAGTATTATCTAGATGTTATCATACTTCATACTAATACTTTAAATGAGAAAGTTTAGATGGATGGATGTTTGTTAGAGTTTGTAGCCTAATAAACGGCTTAACAAATCTGAATGAAATGTGGGACAGATGTAGAACATAGTACAACACATAGGCTATTAAGTTTTTTTATTCTCCGCGTACGGAGTCACAGAGGGAAAACTATTTGAATAAAAAAAAATCATGTATAGTCTTTTTTGTTCTTTTATAACGATCATAATCCACAAAAAAATAACACACGAGACTTAATCATTATTTAGACAAGCGTTAGGAAGTATCGCTTATTTAACAAATAACATTTCTTGTTAGTCATACATTCATTACAAGATAAATTTCCGCAAAATAATAACCGCAAGAAGACAGCAAATTACCTCATAATGCTTCAATACATCACAACTTCCGACACGCTGCGCCGGCAGTATTCAACAAAAAGACACCGCTTGTATGTAAATACATAACTTAAGTATCTTTTAGCTGCATAAGTTATCTTATTAGTTGTCCTATTCAAATAGGAAATAGCTCTCTGAGTATACTATTAAAAAATTTATGAGTAATTATTTAAAAATGCAATAAGAAAATCTTTACTTTTGCTTACATTCTTGGAGCACAAACTTGAAGATTATTAATCGCAACAATTAATTTAGTATACTAACCAATATCACGAATAACTTTTAAAGCAATGTAAGAAACTAATAGAATAATTTACAACAGACCAAACTGTACGTGACGTCACGTTGATGTCGTGCCGCACGATTTTACATTTGCTGACTCAAATCGTTTATAACACGTTCTTTATACAATTGAAGGATCATGGAGCATGTTCTCGATAAACTGAAAATATGAGATACTAGTTTTTGCCCGTGACCCCGTCTGCGTGGTATTGGAAAAAACAAAAGTGAACAGCCTATGTGTTCTTCCAGACTAACTTCTACATCTATGCCAAATTTCATCGAAATCCGTTCAACCGTTTAGGCTACAAACTCTAACAAAAATCCATCCATCTATCTATCCAGCCATTTAAACTTTCACATGTATAATATTAGTAAGATTACTATATATTGATGTTAAACCCAAAATATATAACTAGAAGCCTTAATAAATAGCGATTTTTAACATTATTATTTATCTAAACTACTGTAATGAAGAGTAAACACACACTTCTTTTGAATTTAAAGTCATACAATTTCGCCAGAGTCGCTATTTAATTTAGGGAGTAAAACATTGTATAAAAATACTCTGCGATAAAGGGACAAAACTATAAGCTTTGCAACAAACAAGTAAGATTGCCATGGTGACGGTGATTAGTAGCTAAAAGCAAAGGCCTTCGTTGTCGTCTAAGTATTCAAAGACATTTGAAAAAAGTTTTACGAATTGTATACAATGAAATAAAGTTTTCAGTTATGTTCGGAACATCTAGTTAGAGTGGAGTATTTGGTACTTATAACCCGTTATCAGTGTAGTTTCGAACGTGACAAGTGCATGTCGACATTCGCACGTGTAGTGTTAATCATTTAAGGACGTGACGGATCTCTGTGAAATAGTCGAGATACCACGTTATTTTATTTTTTTTTATATCTATCAAACGAATTATATCCGATTAATTTTGAACCTTACAGTTATGCATGTAGAGGTCATATTACAATCACCAACCACAATTTAACGCTTCAACTTGAGACCAATTCGCTACAAAATATTTATGCAGCTGATAACTGCATAAACATTTCTGTTTTCTGGCCGTTTTATTAAGGCCTCATGTCACATTTGAATCCTGATAAAGTCTAAATTTAGTTAAAATGGATAGACATCTCTATTGTCGTAATACTAATGTGGTATACATTAACAGCGGCAGTGAAAACGCGCAATCCGTAACGCAATATTGCATCTCGAATTACGATACGCAGCAAGTCATAATCTGGTAGCGGGCCAGCGAGTACATAGACAAGCTCTAGTGCATTAAAACTTGATACAACGAAGGGAACATAAAAAGTATTGATGTTTTTGATACGAATTTACGGAGTCGTTGATCAGGATGGATGAAACATAATGTCGATTTACTATAAGATTACTATTACAAAGATAGTATAAATGGCTCTCAATATTTTCCCACCAAGCGTGTGACTTGCACCACGCCGATCGGCAATCGATCAGTACGAGGTTTCCTCATCGGCCGGCGTCCCGTGGACAATGCACGTTATTGCATTACACTCTCGCCGCGAAAGTGTCGCCCTGTCGCCAGTGAAAGCCGACCGTCTCGGACTTTGTTAGAAGATGACGGTCACTCTAATACTACGGCTAGCAGCATAAGTATCTTAAATCACTATTCTTTCCTTTTTCCTTATATATCAATTTACTTATAGTAGTCCTTCACCTATTAAGATATGAAGCTAATGTATCAACATTAGTATTGATTATTAGTTATAGAAACTTTTTATATGACTATTGCTATCATTGACCGCAAGATCCAGTGGCTAGTTTACGAGTCTGCGGTTATAAAGGCGTGACCCAGTTAGACAAGGTGATACAAGGATCATCTACAATCTTCACATTCTTAGTACACGGCATTAATCGAAGTGAAATCGAATTGAGTCGTCAATGCAACCAACGTATTGCATAGCGTCTCATGTGACGACAACACGTCCTGCGGGCTGGCGGACCATCGGGGCCGTCGGATATCCGACACCGGCCGATGAGGCTGTGGAGTTGTCCAATACTAGGCCAAGGCACGTCAAAGAATATTTATAGCCGACTAACTTTCGCCCGTGACTCCGTACGCACTTAAACAAAAGCAAGTAGCCTATGTGTTACATTATTTTGTAAATATTACTGTTTTCACAACGTTATTACTTTGTATAATATTTTACACATTTATATGTATTTTGCAATTTTAGTATTATGACCTGCAATTAAATACATTGCTCAATTGCCTCGTAATGTAAGTTAATATAAAATGTAAGGTTTTACAGCAACCTGCGTTCTCAGAGACTGACCGAATGACTTCGACCTTCGCATTGTCGTGTATGAGAGCTAATCTCTTACGACATTTAGCTCTTATACTAAGGACGTTATGTTATTGCGAAATTAATTTTTCTATTTAATTATAACTGATACTAAAGGTGTTACTTTTATAGCTGTGAATAGTTTAGTGGCCAGTGCCGAGTGCCCCAGCTACTTTGAACCATTACTTATTGTTTTTTGTACGATAACAATGAAATGCGTTTCCGAACTACGTAACTTGAGTTTTACTCTGTTAAAACTAAATTTAACTTCACACTATTGAAGCAATAGGTAATAATAAAATAAATATGAACTTCAGAAACCCTTAGTGTTCGACTAAAAATAATCTATTCCATGACATTGTGACGTTAAATATAAGCTTTGGTGTTTATTTACGTCTCTTGCTATTCCAGGTCTTCATTCGGATCTATCACTGACATCACTGGATGGAGAGGAGGGTGAGACCCTGCGGCGAGGGGCCCTGGCGGCCGCGTGCGCAGACGCAGTGGCAGCCTACGCTACGCTGGAGGGCTCTCGAGTTAGGGATTCCATCGCAGCGCACGCACGCAGGGCCCTAGAGCGGGAGCGACAGATAGACGAAAAGAATGACATCATTGCTGATCTTTCCTCCAAGGTAAGGGTCGTAAAATATAGTACTATTCAAACTTTATTGCAGCTCGCAAGTATTGCAAACACAACTGAGTATGCAGTACCGCCATAATATTTATTGATTCTAACGGTAATATTATTTTGTACTCAACATTTAATGTTAACTTTAATGGTTTATAATGACTATGTTACAGTGAATATTGTAATGATTTCGCTTGCATCGACACATAAACTGTACTCAGATATCTGTTTCACAACTTATAAATTGCTAGTGTTTAACTTGTGTCCGAGTTATAACTAAATTGATTACTTAAAGCAGCATCTAATCATAAAAGAGTTAAAGGCAATCGCGATAATGATCTGTAAAATTGAAAAGCAATCGATAACAGCATCGATCGTGGACCGTAAGCGAGATGAAATTGAAAATATCGATACGAAATCGATTTACACCGGTATACCACAAACGGTACAAGCGGCAGTACAGTAACTATGGCAACGACCCATACAATCTCAATGTAGACGTTAGGTTAAGTACAACTTGAACTAAACTATCGCACAACTTTTTAGTCGCACTTTGATTCCTGCTTATATGGAGGTGCGCACACTACTCGATTTTTAGTTGTGCAATTAAACAGTTGGCTGTGAAACAATCGACAATCGCTCAAAAGTTCTGCGATAGTTTAGTCAAAGGTGTGCCCACACTAACGGTGATTAAATTCTTTGTTTGCCGTTTTTCAATTGTTTAAAATAAACAAAATCACGTCAATATATTGATTTCAACATCTGATTAAACCAAACCAAAAGTTTAGAAATAATGATCAAAATGTTCTAAATCCTTAACTTAATACTTTTATGACAAATCGTCCCACACAAAACCTACACTATAATTATCGTTTAACCGATATGTCCTGTCCAGCTATTATGTCCATATCTGGCCGACAGCAGACTAACAATAAACCAAAACCAGTTCGTCCACTCCTAGTTTAGTCCGAGCAAGTTCACATGAATCGTAGGAAGAACTAATGAGGTCTCAACATAGCTTATTTTAAATCTTGTTTTTATTTGTTACCAATTTAGAGACCTTATAATACTGAAAATATCGATCGTTAGTGGACCTAGCATGTTCTTTATTAGTCGTATGATGTTAGAAAGAGACGGAGTAGGCTTTACAAAGTGAGCTAGGTTGACCTGCGTGACGTCATGCGGTCGCTGCCTCACGTTATGGGTCGACGACCAGACTGCTCGTATTCTAAAGGTTTTATATGCTAAATACAATGCGGTACCTTTATTGAAAACTACTTTTATAGCGGGGTTCGTTGTTCTACCTTTGTGAACGAGCTATCAGATTATGTACAGTCAGCTTCATAAATGTAATACATTTATAGACACTTATATATGCGTTTGGTTTCAAAAATTTTAAGCATTATATTCTTTTATGGTGTGGTATACCATGGTATTCCAACTTATGAGTTGGAAGCATACGCACGGATAAGTCTAAGCGTATTTAGGGGTATACAAGCTTTGTAAATAAATATATATTTTTGCAACTTACTGTACTATGATAGTTCATACTAGCTATACTAAAGATTGCTTTAAATGTTTAAATGTCAATTTAATAACGTATTAATAAAGTCAAGTTTATGTGAGTTTCCCACGACTGTATGAACTTGATTGCTGGATATTTTCATAATAAAGTAGTTACTTTATTTTATATCGTGTGGATTTTTATAATCTTCCATTTCGAACTAACCTCAAACTACAAGCTCGCTTCCCTTTCACATTGCGCCAAATAAAAAAGCTTTTACAATATTGAAATTATTTCAGAGACCTTGTACTAAAAAGTGCCGCATTGTTTTGAGGTCGCTATTTACACTTTTTACCACAATACGTACATATTTAAAGTATTTTTGGCTTTATTAACTACTAGCTGTTGCTCGCGACTTCGTCCGCGTAAAGTTAAAAAATAATAGAAAAATGTATAGCCTATGTTAATCATAGATAAATTACCTTTCTAACGGTGAAAGAATTTTTAAAATCCGTCCAGTAGCTTTTGAGTTATTTTAATACATATAAAAATAGATAAACCTGGATTTCTATCATATTTTAGACTGGGAATAGAATCTCGTGGAAAGGCGAGTCCTTTTTGACACTTTTTTCGTTATTGATAAAGCTAGTTTGATATACTTTTGTGAGATTGTTTTCACACTTCATTAAATTCTCAGTCGATTATTTGGAGGCTTTACTGGGTAAATGACGGCGTCACTTCCTGAACGGAATCCGGTACGCTTGACATTATACGTTGGCATTTGTAACTAGTTTCCTTCAAACAATGACAAATAATTCCGCTATATTCCTTGGACTTTCACTTTTTTTCTAATATTTCTTGTAATTATTTTAAGTAATCTGTGGGATTTTGCTAGGATATGTTTTATGATATTTGAAAGGCGGGATTCGAATCTTAGACCAAGTAATCGATATCCGTACTAATCTTATAAACTTATGGGTTTTTTCCTTGCTTATAGTGATATTTAGAAATACATTGTTTATTTTTTCCCAATAAGGCATATCCTTCATTAATTTTCTAATGTGATTTTATCTTTTGATGTAGGAAATTAATTTAATTTGTATAAAAATGTAATAAATACCGTAAAAGTCGCAACAGCCTCGCCGCTGCCGCTCTCCGAATTGTGTGCTCAAGGTCGAGCCATTATTAAGCCTTTATGTGCTATTTACGTGCTGTACATACAAACAACAAAAAAGACATCGCTAAAAGCATTCGAGGTTATGTTCTGGTGCAGAAATCACGATTCTGTTTTTTCATATGTTATAGTTAATTATTTTTATAAACTTTAATTGCCTGCTTTGGCTTACTTAACTAAATATTACACTGTCTAGGTTTATTTTGGAATGACATTGAATCTATTTTTCAATTTACAAACGAAATATCGTTTAATTTTGTTTCCTTCTCAGTATCGAATAAGCACATATACACACAAACATTATATATACTCATTAACCCTAATAATACTTGTAATTGCCCGCAGCATTACTCAACATTCAATTGTTAATCCCTATAACAATAGCAGGCCGTGAGGCTTGTAAGACAATGTCTCGCTTCCGCGCTCTGAGCGTCACCCAATGTATAGGAGCTAAAATATTTCGACACGAACAATGCCGGCTAAGTTTTTAACGTTGTTTAGGTAACAAATACCCATATATGTTAGGGTCGAAGTGCTATGTGTTGATAATAAACCTTCTTGTTTTAAATTGCAGTTATCTGTGGCGGAGGTGGAGTTGCGTGCGGCGGCGGAGGAACGCGATAAGTTGTTGAACGACGCGAACTACTCCAGTCTGCAGAATGACGAGGCGGTGGCGCGCGCACGACAGGAGCGAGACGACGCTATAGAAAGGAAGAAGACAGCTGAGGTACGTTCCTTCTGTACACACAACAGCTGTACAGTCCGTTTTAACTTCTTCAGACAGAAGACAGTCGTGAAGTGGAAGCAATTCCTCGTTTCTTCTGATGAGTGTGGCGCCGGAGGCCTAATTGTAGTCCCTTTTTCTTGCCACCCTTTTCTTATAAGGGAATGATGGGTAGAGAAAGAGGATTTAACAGAGGAGAAAACGCATAAGAAGGGGGAAACATCTTCTTTATGTGCGTCTCCTCTTCCATTAAGGATAGACAACGATTCAGGTGGCCGTTTGCTACCTTATGATACAAAAAAATTACATATATTATGATATGGATTGCAGTGTTACTTATTTAGACAAAGACTAAACGTTCAACAGACCAAGACATTCTGGATTTATTTTAATGTATTGTGTATTGCAGGTGGCGCTGGCGAAGACTCGCGTGGAGCTGATGCAGGCCAACAGCCAGCTGTACGAGGCTGTGCGCCAGAAGGTTGACCTTGGACAGCAGCTTGAACAGTGGCAGGTGCGTAAAATTGGCAGATGATAAACAGCTTCGTAAAGAAAAGCATTCTCTTATATTTGTAACGAGCAACTTCGTTTCCCGCGTGTATCAGCCCACCTACCCCTCAAAATCGGAATCATTCTGACAATGTGGAATTTAAAAGAACTAGCTTATCCATGTCCATGTCTGTGAAAATCCCGTAGAAAGAAAACAGACGGACATATGTACAGACAGACTAAAATTTTTAGCCAACCTGGAAATGAAATGGATTTTGAAATCTGGATTTTTTTCGTTAGTAATGTCGAAATATCGAACTATGTATGTAAACAGACACTACAATTTTATTCTTTCGAGAATGTATTTTAATTTATTCCCGTGGTTGTTTTCCAGATGGACATGCAGGAGCTGATCGACGAGCAGATGAAGCACAAGCTGACGACGCAGGAGAAGCGGCGCAAGCTGCCGGAGCCGCCGGCGCCAAAGCGCGCCTCCAGGATACTCGGATTTTTTCAGCGGTGATCTGCTGCGGCCCCCTCCTCGCCCCACTCCTCGCCCCATTCCACGTCCCACTCCTCGCCATACACCGCACCAACGTATACATGATACATTTCGTTAAGAAGTACGACCTCGTGGAACACCCAGCGGCAACAACACTGTATGCTGTGGCCATGTGTGGCGCTGCCGCCATGCTGTGCGCCGTGCTGTGCGCCGTGCTGTGCGCCGTGCTGTGCGCCGTGCTGTGCGCCGTGCTGTGCGCCGTGCTGTGCGCCGTGCTGTGCGGACTCATCATGTTCTTCATGTACACATTAGCAGTGATACTTAGTGTCTTAATTAGAACATTTATAGTGATATTGAATGTTTTTAACATTTCACTACAGTTGCTGTAGAACATTAAAATTTTACGCACGTTAATAAAAATACAAACGGAATTGTAGCAAAATGAATTATTTACTAAAATAGCAACGGATTTATAGACGTGAATGAAGCAAGATTAGTTTAGGGAATATACAAAATGGTAACGTAGCTAATAGTACCTGTACTATCTTTGATAATGTGTTTACGATTCGTTCGCAGTAACGCATCCATTACTCTGTTGTTCCAAACTTCTTTAGCACCTTCGTACCCGAGCCGCAATGTACATAACAAAACTTATATCACTCATTCGAAAGTATTTCGTCTCACATTAAAATATTTGGTGCACTAAAAATAGATTTAAGTTAATGTTCCGTGAAAAATAACATTTAAAATAGCCATAATTTACAGTCGTAGTTCGAAAGTTAAATGATTTACACTAATAATTGAAATATGTACTAAAAACTTATATCTTTTTAAATTACAGAAAATTGTAATGTTATTTAGCTAACTCGTGTATTGTGCCTTAAAATATCTTATACAGATTAAAAATAAAATATTTTTACATATGCGCGGAGTTTCGCGACCGGCCTTTAAACGTGCCTTGCAGATGTTTACATCAAATTGTAACCTTTATTTACTATATTATTTAATACAAACCTGTACTTAATAACTTACTAAGTTGCTCAACTTATTTATGTATCAATTCAATCTGGCTGAATAATAAAATTTCTACCTAAAAAAAAAAAGAAATTGAAGCGTCATATTGTATTTATACGCTGACATTCCATACATTTTGAGATTGCATCGAGATTACATTTAGAAGTTATGTCTTGTGTATATTTTGTGATTTAACTCGTAGTATAATTGCACGTATAAATGTTGTATTGCAGAAAAACTATAATAACGGAGATATTTTGCACTATTTTTGCTTCAGCAAAAGTGTAAGTCTGCAAAACTCCGTATATTGTGGCTGTTTTCTGTCGATATATCGTTTTAACAATGCACAACTAAATAATTTCTCTTCTTAGTAACAATAAACTCGACTATCTAATTCTTTTAACTTACGAAACGATAACGATTCGATTTTTTTATTTTTAAATCTCTGTATAACCTAGTTATTAAATGTCTATTTCGTTTACTATAACCTAGTAACTTTTTTAATCTGTTGAAAACGGAGTGAAATAGAAAAATGCAATATCATTTTATAAAGTAGATAATATCTTTATTTAGGTTTTTTCGCGGGAGCGATGTTTTATTTAATTTTAAAATGATGTACATTTTTTATATCCGATATGTAAAATAGTTTTAATAACACAGGTATTTTTTATTTATTTTTAAGACTGAATTTATAATGGAATTGTAAAAATGTTTTAATAAATTTATGTTTCGTCTTTAAAACTTATAAAGACCAATAATAAAGTATTTATATATTATATATTTTAAACAGAGATATTTTATGTATTTACAAATGTATAATTCAGCACAAATTTATTTTTTAATATTATTCTTTCAGTCAATATTAACATTTAAATCCCAGGGTTTATTTTATTACAATGCAAATAATCAAAATAACATCTAAAATATGAACTAAAAGAGCCGATATTGCCTTTAGAAAACTTAAGTAATAAAAAATATGTACTGTAAAAAACAGTACATTTTTATATTTTCACGTGAAAATATAAACATTTGCAAAGCTAACATTGTAATACAATTAATTCTGGATTTTTATATCAATAAAACCACTTTTAAACTATAACTTAGATACGAAGCACTTCTGATAAGTACTTAAACTTTGTAACTTAGGATAAGGTCATGACTAGCTGTACTTAAATTTGTGGAGAAAATAAATAAATCAACAATTTTTAACGTTTTTTTTTACTTAATGTCCTATTGAAATGTCACGTACAAGTTATAATGTCAATCAAATGTGAAACGCTTGCAAGAAATAATGTTGAGGCTTCAATAGTTAAAATAGAAACATAAAAGTAGAAACACTTCAACTAGTTAATTCGAAATATATGAAAGATAGCTGTTCCCGTGCGGCTTCATCCGCATGAAATTGTTATTGTCAAATGTCAAAATTCAGATGAAGAAATGACAACCTTGCTTCATGGTCTCTTTCCCCATTTGGGGTTTTATCCAAAATATTTACCCCCAAAGATTAATGGCGTGAAAATATATGGCCTAAAGCGTGACATAAGTGTAGGGCTTTTTATTAATATAAGCATTATTCAAAAATATGCTGTAATTGCTGACATCTTAGGAAACAAAGAAGTGTGTGTTTATGCTTATAATAGTATAGATAAAAGTCTACTTCGAATCAACGGCGGATCCAGGGGGGCGGTTATGGGGGTCATGAGCTCCCCCTGAGCTGAGAGCTTGACAAAATTTTTAAATATATGACTTGACCACGACTATGTGGCTGTGTTAATACCCCTTGGCGCCAAAGCTGGATCCGCCCTAGCTTCGAATGCTCTATATCGGTTAATTAATAGTAGGTAAGTTGCCTCTAAAACTAGCTCAGATCATCAACTGTATCGTAGAGAATGATTTGGGAATCCCCAAAACATGCTAAAGTGTTAAATTGTTATGCACGAATTGTAAAGAGTTATGTTTCTAACCGTAACTCTATACATTAATGAAAGAATATTTTCTATATGTCATTTAACCTGTCCAAAAGACGTTTACAAAATATTTATTACAGTTTTTAGCTTATTGATTAGTTGAATAGATATAGCATTATAAAAGTTAAATAATGCCGGAACCCGTGGAGCAGAAGACGATCGACCCAGAAGCGGAGCTCAGCAATGTTCAGAAGACGGTCAGAAAGATTGTGTACATAGTTAATTTACCTCGTTAATTAATACACATTTCACGCTAGTCCGTAGTGTGTAGAAAGATAGGGAACAAGTTTATTTTCTTTGAAATGCTACACAACATCCGAAGAATAAATAAAACAAAAAAAATAAATTAGTTACAAAGTCCAATATGAGACCACATCCTGCTAACAGGCTGCAGTAGACTACAGACAGATTATAACGATGTAAAGTTAGTTGTATAGGGCAGTTATTATGCTTAGGATTTTGTATTCTACGTCATGAGCACCTTTGGGCAAATTCCCTATTCCTTCCCTCTATTATTCATAACTACACATAGTACTAAACCTAGTGACGAGCCTATGACTATTGTTATTTAGAAGGTTAAATATAAGCCAAACCAAAAATCTAGTCAGTCGCTTCAGATCAATTACCGTTATCTTTCTGCAAAATGAGTCACTTCTTAACGTTAAGTTTGTCCTCGTGGGGTCAGTTTGAGAAGCTGGCGCCGCTATGCACGGTGGAGAAGCGCGCGGCAGGCGAGCCCCAGCTGGCCCCGCAGGAGAAGCAGCTAGACATCCTCGCTAAAGAGCTGCGCGAGACGCTGCTCTGCATCAACGTAAGTTACCGCAGCAATGATCTGCAACACTGGAACAATATAAAGATGCTGTTCCATTCGTGCAGTCATGATGTTTTGTTTGTGCATTAGCTTGCAAAGAAGGGCATGCATGCACTGCGCGATGCACAGACCAAAAGCAGCACGAAGCGGGGCATCGTGGAGTATGAGGCACAAGAGACACGGCTGCGTGAGGAGCGCGCCCAGCTCGCCGAACTCGACTGCCTTAACTACCTCGCTCAGAAGCAGATAGTTGAGCTGCTAAAGAAGGTGCCCACGGAGTCAGAGGTGATAACGTTACTGGGAGTCCATTGTAGTGATATAAACGAACTTCCAAATTATTTGTCGAATTAATTTTTCCTAAAGGAATTGGCGATAATCGAAAACGCCAATAACCGTCTACGGCGCATGGAGAACCGGCTGGACCTTGCCACCAAGCGCTTCTGTGTTGTCAACACCAACAACAAGACCGTGCGCGAGGAGATACACCGCCTTCTCGTCGAGAGGTTCTTTAAAAAAATTTAATAATTAAAATAAACAAAAATGAAAGTGCTCAATCCATTACTATACTTGTTGTTATGTAGAAACGACTTCAACGTTCAATGGAACCGCACAATCGGCAAGCTGGTACGCGGCAAGGAGTACCTAATGGACATTCTGGAGATCGCCAGCGCTGCCTTCGCCGACCGCGACGAGTGTTGCCGCAAACTCGAGGCTCTCAAGTGGAAGGGCCTCTTCCAGCTCAACAGAGACATATCGGTCTGGTCAATTTAACAAAAGATATTTTAGCGAGAAAATAATATTGTAGTATTATATTGCTATTTTATTGTACCAGGAGATGCAAGCCTTCGAAGGCGAGCTTAATCACTTAGCCAAATTAGAGGAGTTCTTACGCGTGAAGGGCTCACGCCGCGTTTGTGAGGCTGACGAAAAGGAGGAGATCAAGCGGCAGGAGGAGGTGCACCGCTGCGAACAGGAAATCGCGCGCCACGACGCGTTGCTTGAGGAGATCTTCGTTAGTCTGCAAGGAATATTCTAAACATACATATTAGACCGAACACTGAGTATAAAAACTATGTAGCAAGGAATTTTTGACGTTTATTCCATAACAATTCTTAGATCTGTGTAGTTTTTTTCCTGTTCAGGAATACGCGGGATCGGACCGTGTGTCCACCATAATTAACCATTTCAACACGGCGGAGATCCAGAACTTTTCGACATTTGTGCTGCTGTGCGAGGTGCTGCAAGAGTCCGTCATCATGCGACGTGACCTAGAGTCCACCAGGCAGAGGATAAGTCAGAACTGCCTATTGAACCAAATAAACATCTTCAAATACTTGATAGCAACAGTTAACGGAAAACTCGAGATATTTGTATAAATATTTTATGTACATGATGCAGTGGACCAGCGTGATGTCAACGAGGGTCGACTGGAGCGCGAGGAGCGGCGGCTGACGGAGCTACGCGCCACGCTCGAGGACCAGCGCATGCGCACTCAGCGCTTTCTCGAGCTCAACAACAACGCTGAGGCCGTTATCATTAAAGTCCTTAAGGGCATCGACGACTTGGTCAGGTCAGTATATGTTATAATTGGCAATTATCAATTTACTTTTCTTCGGGATTTAATGTTTTTCATTTTCATTTCTCCCAGACTGGCCAGGTGCGACTGCACCCCGCTGCTGAGCCTACTAGGCAACCACAAGGAGGTGACCAAATGGAACGTCTCCAAGTTCCTCAAGATCCTCGAGGCGGAGGTGAAGAGTCTCATTGAAGTGGCATACGGCGCCGTCAAGGTATTATACCAAAATTGTAAGCAAATCTCTAAATATAATGGTAATCTAACTACTTGTATCATTTCAGCCTCCAGCACCCACTCCGAAGGGGCGGAAGGCGCCGCCGGCAGCTGTCAAGCTTGTGGCTGACCCGTACGTGGAACAGTTGCGGCCCAACAGAATCGAACAGCTTGTGCCCTACCAACCGTGCGCTTAGTAAGTTTTTGATTATCGTTGGCTAATGTGACACATCTAGGTTTTGCTAAAAACAGTCTCACAATTTCTGATGTAACGTAATTTTGCAGTTGTGTTGAGGATTACATAATGAACCTGGTGTTTGAGACCCCTGCCGTGCCTGCTGACGATGAATACGTGCAGGGCATCTTCCACCTTGAGGACATCAACACCAAATTTGGAATATATACACTAACCATACCAACGTAAGTGATTCCTTGTCACACTAATGTTTAATCCTCTATACTAAGTTAAAGTTGTGAATATTTTTTAACTTAATGTATAGATATGAAAATATTTAATTTCATTTACAGAAAGCGACACCCATACCGTGGTACCAAGAAGGATTAGAAAATTCAGAATGGATTTCGTTTACCAAATATTTTAGAAATACTTTACTGATTAGGTCATTAACAAAACCTTATGAAAAATACTTAAAACGTACAAATATTAAAATTTTAACTTTCTAAATCGATTTTTGTCAAATTTGAAAATAATGAAATCATGTCATGTGGATTATAAAATGTAACAAGATCTAGTATCTTCCAAATAGCAAACTATACAAATATATCAATTTTAGATAGGTTAGCTTACTTAGTTTTTAATAATAATATTTCCATTATATTGACATTGATTAAATTTATAAACTTATATTTACTTTCAATTTCAGGATATTTTTCAACTACTATTATTTTTTATGGCAATTAAATATTTATAGGATGGCAACACTTTTGATTTGCATATGTTGCTATTATCTAAAATTCTCCCTTTTTTACAGCATTATTTATGTAAAACAGGTAAATGTGAAGGTTGAGAAAAATCTTCAAACCTTCCGAATTTGTAAATAAATCAAACCTACTTATCACTTTTTACTGTTAACGATAAGTTCTAGGATATTTCCAAAGCAAAAACCACTTTAAACGTATTAAGTATGAGAAATTGGAATTTTCATAATGAAGATGGGAACACTGATGATGTGTTTCTCTTGTTTGTGTGAGTAATGTCTCCGCTCCGCCATTGGATTTCGTTATAGCCGAGAATTGAAAAAGGTTGTACCTTTTAAATCGGCAAAAATCTTAATAATCTCTTTCTCTTCGCTCATTTTCTTCAGTCATATTTCGTGCACAAACATTGTATCCGATGGCAGACAGAGACACAGATGAGTTAAACATTGATAACGTAATAAAAAAATTATTAAAAGGTAAAATAAATTCTATTGTTAATTATTTGAATCACCAGTGTTATTTGTTGTTTTTATAAAAGTGTTTGATAAACGTTACTGAAGATGATGAATTTAGTAGTGAAACAGTGTTACAGAAGTGCAGTTTTGTTTATATTTTGTTGTTTTCAGTTCGGGGCGAGAAGCCTGGTATGAATGTACAGTTAACTGAAATTGAAATAAAAGGGCTATGCCTTAAATCTCGGGAAATATTCTTGTCACAACCCATTCTACTTGAATTAGAAGCTCCGTTAAAAATATGCGGTAAGTAAATCTATTGTACACAAAACACTTAGTCCATACAAACTCCAACTTTCGTAGAGTTGCGTTATACTTTCGAAATTGTATTCCTTCTTTCATTACTTCGTACATATCTTCATTTTAAGTTGTAACTGACTGTTGTTAAAACGAAAGTTTGTATTTTAATTCATATATTTAATTGTTACATCATTTTTTGTCGTTTAAAATAAATTTTCGACATGATTCGCTATTTAAATTATTACCTAATAAATAAATATTAACATTTTTCATACAAATATATTTGTTCAGTAAAATATTGTGTAATTTATAACATATTATTCATATTATAAAGGCATTTAGAATTGAAAATTAGAATTTGTGGTTCTCTATTATCTGGTAAAAGTTAATATTAAAATATCTAAAGTTCATTATTTCTTTGTTCAAAGATACCCAAAAACTGAATTATAGATAACCTTTGTTTATAAACATCACTTTGAATATTCTTCATTTGCATAATAAAACTTAAATATTCTTTCGGAATACTTAAATTAGCTGTTTTATATTAATATTGAACTATAAAAAATGTAAGATCTAATTTCTATACTAGTATTTTAATATTTTATTAATAATATAAAGAATTTTATATTTCTCAAAGCATACTTTTTATCCTTAGACTGTTTCCTTTACTAATTAAGTTGTACACTTCACACAAACAGGAAAATTAATTATGAAACAACATTTCGAAATAAACAAAGTTTTGTTTATTGTAGGAATATGTTATATTTAATTTACTCATCAAAGAAAAATATTTATTTGGCTAAAAAAACAAAACTTTGTCTATTATGCTGTAAAATCCACTCATAAAAGATATAATGCATGACCTATGATGTTAAAATAAAGACAAGTTGATGTTAAAAAATATTTTCACAACTTTTAATTAATCAATTATAACAAAATATTGATGTTTACAATATATAGTCTATGATAAATCACAGAAAATCTATACATATACTGAAATTGGATTATCTACATGTAACATTGAGAAAAAAAAATATGTTTCACAAACATGATGTATTTATGTGGCATACAAAATTATTTTAAAATATAGTTGTTTGTCTATCTACAGGAATTTTATAGTGTAATCTCAGACTTCTAGATCGATTTTGCCTGAAAAGTTCCTTAAACATAGAGAATCTTTTCTAAAAAATTTTGTAGATATTATTGTCATCAAAGTAAAGTATGAATTATTTCCAGGTGACATTCATGGTCAGTATTACGACCTGTTAAGGTTGTTTGAGTATGGTGGTTTCCCTCCGGAATCCAACTACCTGTTCCTCGGGGACTATGTAGACCGCGGCAAGCAGTCACTGGAGACAATATGTCTGCTCCTCGCATACAAGATCAAGTATCCAGAAAACTTCTTCCTCTTACGAGGTAACCATGAATGTGCCAGCATTAATAGGATTTATGGGTGAGTTGGTTTTTTTAACTAGATTTGATATTCATAGTAAATGTTTTTGCCTACCCTCTTGCTTATTGACACAAGTGTAATTTCAAATACAGGAAATTATCTTCATTTCTAATAACTTTAATTTTAGTGTTATTACTAATTATATTTGTATATGAAAGTATATATTCATTATTGCTAACATTTACCCATACAAAATGGTTCAATACTGGACATTTTTCTGAAGGAATTTTTAATTTTTATGCTTTAAGTAATACAATTGAAGCACAATAGATAATGTTTATATAGTTTTAATCATAGTAACACTAGAATGGGGGTAAAAACACGCCGTCATGGGAGGTGAACACGAGTTGTGCACCTCACAAGCCCTTCTGCACATATCTGAGTACAAGCGGACCATGACATTGAAAAAAAAATCACAAATATTTAACTAAATGCTAAGAAAACAGTGTTTGAATATATCGGCAAGATAATGTTACTCCAGATTCCATTAAATTGTGACCTCTGTCAGATTGTAAACGGCATTTACGAAGAAAAATGTTTGAGATTCGTTGCAACATTTTTCCATAATAGTATCTCAATAATGATAAAATCTTAATTTATTACGTCTTAACCTAATTATCTTCCTTGCACATTAATGAAACATAACATCCCAGATAATATCGAAAATAATATCTTACTAATATTATAAATGCGAAAGTTTAGATGGATGGATGTTTATTAGAGTTTGTAGCCTAAACGGCTGAAGGGATCTCGATGAAATTTTGCATAGATGTATGATCTATTTTGACGATAGTCTGGAAGAATACATAGGCTACTTTCTTTTGTTTTTTTTTTTAATTCCGCGCGGACGGAGTCGCGGGTAACAGCTAGTAATTAATAAATGTGTATAACATGCTCTGCGGCAACCCTAGCATATGACTCATTGTGAGTCATTGTTTGTTGCAGTGTTGCCTTATGACATTATGCCACTTTTTAATATCGACTTATGTTAAAACGATACCAAGGGGTATAAGTGCAGGTGTAAATATTTATCTGATTCCATGACCGTAGCCGCATTGTTTAAACATGACATCACTGTTAGTGGTAGATAACACCAGTGTTATCGTACTTCCGAACTTTAATTATTATTTCGTAAATAAATCAGTAGCGATTTACAATAATGCACTGTTGTTTAGCGTGTCATTTTTAATGGTTTTGCTTTGGCATGTTATGTTGAACACTAATTTTCTGTTTACGCAATATTTACAGTAAGAATTGTAATGTTTTATGGAAGAAAATCTTTTAATTTACTTAAAAATGTCTGACTAGAAAACCCTTCTCAAATGCAATTTAAGATATTCATCTAAGTCGAAATAGTACGAAATATAACATTAGCTTTCGTCTGCGACTCTGTCCCCTTGGAATTAAAATAAAAAAGTAGCCTATGTGTTCTTTCAAACTACGCTCTACATTTATGACAAATTTCATTGAGATTCATTCGGTAGTTTAGAAATCCGTCCATCTAAACTTAGTTTACTACGTATTCGTAAAAATTTAAATGTATACTACTAATATTAGTAAGATTGTAAAGTCCTGTCCGGACGCGCCTCTCGCATATCTGCGCAGAGCAATGACCGCACTGATGGATTACCAAACGTGACGCCTGCAACAATATTTGTACTAAGCGGCCTTCGCAGAAGGTGGAAAAATACAAAATTGATATAAAGCCAAACTCTTCGATAGAATGTTTTGTTTGACGGCGGCTCGTATGTTCTCAGGTTCTACGACGAGTGCAAAAGAAGGTACAACATCAAGTTATGGAAGACTTTCACAGACTGCTTTAACTGCCTACCCGTCGCTGCGATAGGTAAGTACATTATGTATTACAAACACTATAAAAATATAGCCAACACAAATGTATACTATAACACCAATTTGTTCTAAAATGTCGCTTAACAGCGCGCGCACACTGTCGCACAACAGTTTTGCGATTGTCGATTGTTTAGCAGCCATTCAACTGTTTAGTTGCACAACTAAAAATAGAGTAGAGCCCCCTCCATATAAGCTCATAGGAATCAAAGCGAGACTAAACGGTTGTGCGATAGTTTAGTCAAAGGTGTGCGCACGCTCTAAATATATGTAAATATTATATCTTATTGTTTTTACCGTTAAAATGTTTACTTCACGTTTTCGTATGACTGTTTCCTGGTAACGTAACTTTCTAAATGAGCCGTGTTCACTGAGAAGGGATTATCGTGTTTCCGTACATAGTTGAGCAGCTTTCCATGCAAGTCATCGAACTACCCGCGACGTCTCTGCATGTCCCCCTGCGGCGCGGTCGTAATGCCCTTGACACACCGATACCGGGAATTTTTAACTAACGAAGTGCACCGGAGATCGCTTACGAAAGGAATTTTGGATGAATCATCAAAACTGGCAGCTTTTTTCATTTTGATACTGTTGTGAAATTTAAAAATAAAGTCTTTCATATAAATTCGATTACAAAGCCGCGCCTTTTGTAAGGCCTTCAAATTGCCGAGGCAATTGTAGCGGCCCTTCGCCATCCTTGAAGCTCGAAGCATTTAGCGACGTCGACATTAATCGTCCTCTCGCAACTTGCCAAAACAAACCTTAACAACTATACAATTGAGTTAAATTTGCAATATTGAATTATTAATGTTTGCATCCGTCGAAAGCACCTGTACTCAAGTTCTCTTGCGCCAAGCCTCGCACTAAATGAGTAGTTAAGTACTAGAATCATCTACGTTATAACTTTAGTAGCTAAATGTGTTTAATTTTTATCTTAAAAAATTATCTGTCTAAATAAATTTGGATTGTATCTTACTTCTTACTAATATTATAAATGCGAAAGTTTATATAGATGGATGATTTGTTAGTATTTGTAGCCTTTAGGCTAGCAATTTTACTGCTGAATAGAACTCGATGATATTTGGCACAAATGTAGAGGATAGCCTGGAAAAACACTTAGGCTACTCACTTTTAGTTTTTTTAATTCCACCCGAACTACGTCGCGGGCGAAAGCTATAGGCTTATCCTACAAAACAAAGGACTCAGTTAAGGTTCCTCTAGGTGAGGCGACCGCCCAGGGCTTATTTCGTATAGGTTTGCAATTATTGGGCGTTGTAGAAATGTCGCCCAGGGCGTCGGTAATGCTAAAATCGATACTGTGCCCATCTCTAAATGAAACCAGAGACTTTCGATTTGTTCGTCTAGGTAGCAGATATATGGTCTGCATACTAACTAAAGAACTAACGTATACGATAGACTCGGCCTGAGCTATTTAATAATAATGTTGCCACACTACTCGGTGTATTTGAATACTGTCGATGAACTCATGTAGGCAATACCTTTAACGTATATGTAAATTATTTATTTTTACCTTTGTTATTATTATGTCATCTGACGTCTGTATATAGGAAGTGCGGCAGCCGCCAGGCGCCAAGCGGCAACCTCGCTCCGTTTGCACTGCTTGCGCCGTGATGTCGCGTGCTCAGTATTTGCATAGGCATTTGCGACGCATGTATTGTTTTATTACACAAATAATGATTTAATGCTACTTTTTATACCGGAAGTGAGTGTTATTATCCTGTATTTTAAAGTTAAGAATGGTTACAAAGTATAGAAAGTGTCTAAATGGTACTTATAGTGCTGTTTGTCTCGCTGGAGGTGCGCACACTACTCGATTATTAGTAGTGCAACTAAACAATAGAATTGGCATAACAGTTGTGCGATTGTTTAGTTAAAGGTGTGCGTCCGCTCTAACAACTTGTTTGTTACTCCTAAGTTGAACGATCTCATTCTGAACTGCATCATTTTATCTCTTTGGTACCGTTGAAAACGTGATTAACAAGAGTTTTGTATCGATTTCTTACGAATGAATCACAAGGAAGATTATGTGTCATATTTCCTTATACAATATGTATTTGGGTATTTACCAATACGTTGAGATATTGCAACATGATATTTTATTCTTTATACTAGCTTTCGCGCGCGACTCCGTCCGCGCGGAACTAAAAAACACAAATGTAAGAAGCCTATGTGTTCTTACAGACTATCCTCTATATCTTTACCAAATTTCATCGATATCCGTTCAGCCGTTTAGGCTACAAACTTTAACAAACACCCATCCATCCTTCTAAACTTTCGTATTTATGATATTAGTACGATTAGTATGATTATCACAATAACCGTATTTATCTGTAATATGCCAAAAGAAAATGGATAAGAAATTTTCTGTTGATGTAATGTTTTTTCCTTTGTTTTGTAGTCGAGCAAACAATTATAGTCCTCATTAAATAGAAAATATCTGTTCTCCGACATTCTCCTGTCTCGAAGAAACTTCAGCGAAATAAGTTGTTTTCAGTTCAGTAATTGGCTCCTTGTTATCTCTGTTCAGTTTCTTCTCGTTATATTTTTTCCTATATCTCATTTGAATGTTTGATATGAATTATTTTCAATGTAAGAGTTCTTTGTTCTTGAATAAGATAGTGTCGTGAGATTAGATTGTCGAGACTTCAATGGCAGTGTCACTGACACAAACATTGCTTTCAGATAGGACGAGTTAATGTCACCTCAGTCTGATATTAAAACGTAATACCATAAATCAATACAATTCATTGTAAACTTCCAAGGCTTATTGTACCTAGAATTGATCCAATTTAGAATTGCAAACGTTTATATTCTTAATCTTACTAAGAAATTTAAAAATTTGGATGGAGATTAGTTACTGCTTACCTCCTTAAAGTATCATAGTTTATTAAAATAACGGCCTGTCCCACCACTGGCTGATAAAGATAGCTGAAAAATGACGATACTGTCAGATAGAGTACCAATATCCGATACTTCCATCACATATTTTGTACGTTGGATTGTTATCTGTAAATTTACAATTTGGTGGAACAGGCCCTTAATAGGTTAGTTAAGTTCTATATATAAACGATGTATTGACTTCTTTAAGTAATTAAAAGATTAGGTTATTGTCGGCGTTTAGTTTTGGCAACACTCCAAGCGGCCTTTCAAAGTTGTATAGCAGATGCAATTTCCTTAGGCCGTCGTTTATCGCAAGGTGTATGTGCGTATCATGTGATTAGATACCCGGCTACAACTACAACTGCCAGCGACTGACTAATGTTTTGAAGGCCTGGTATATACAAGGTTGTTGTTTATTTCATTAACTACATTTATTGTTTGTAAGTTAAGCATTATTAAGGAATTAAAATAGAACCAATCGTGATTACGATTCATCAGTGCGGTGCTACTCCCACGCCCGGGTCAAGCTAGTCTGTCTGACTATATGTAACATCGCACTGTACCGTCACAACGCCAACCATTGTGCATCATTACTCACTGTATAGAACAAGAATTTGCCTTTATACCAGTTCATATACACACATATTCAAATCTATACTTCTTTGTTATGTAGCCTTATAAATTATATCATGTTTTCAAAGAATTCTTTTTTTTAATAGAACGACACTTAAGACACGCTATAGGCTACGTATTTTTACGTTATTAAATTTTGGCGCTAAGTAAATTTGAAAAATTGCCCTTAAAGAAATGGACAAAATCTACAAACCAATAGCAGCAAAGAAACGAATTTGACATTGTAACGTTATTGTTATCCAATGGCAAAGCCCTTCATTGTCCTTTGTGCATTTTAGATTGGACATTTGAAAGTTTTACAAATGTAAACAATCAAATAATGTTTTTATGACATGGGGATGAAGCTTGTCTTGCTTACACCGTGCGGTACACCTAAAACTTAAATATCGCACTACTTTTTAGTCTCGTACTGTACAACTTAACAGTTAAATTGGCTGCAAAACAATCGACAAACGCACGCAAGATGTGCGCCTGCTCTTATAGTGGTACAAACACAATGTCAAAATTCTATTTAAAATGTCCGCAGTGAACTGCTTTCGCCATCAGACATCGCGTTCAAATTAATTAGCGATATCAAACCCCACCCGTAACGTCCCTGACTCACTTACTGTTATAATTCAATGGCCTTAACGCGAAAAACACGAAGGTCGCGATATAATTGTAACAGAATAAGACCGAGCTAAAGGGAATTACGCGGGCTTGTGTTACAGTCTTTAATGTAGAGGATTGCCATATCCGTAGACAGAAGAATTATTTTTTATTGTGCTAAATGACAAGACAAAAGTTGTCAATAGACTTTTCATGTAAACTTTCGTTTAATCAAGAGACACACAGCTTGGCGTATTTACAATGCATATACTCAATGACTAGGTTGCGTAATAACTAATATACTGATTTACATTATGTTTTGCATAACTAGCTGTCGCCCGTGACTTCGTCCGTACGAAAATGAAGAAAAAAAAGTAGTTAAGTAGCAGATGTGTTCTTACAGAAGATATTTTAACAAACATCTATCTACTTTCGTATTTATAGTAATAGTAAGATTGTCAAATCATTAAAATATTCTCGCGTTTAATTATCGATTGTCACATTTCCAGAAAATTGTAGCCAGTGTAATATAATATTGATATTCTTATTTCTGATGGAAATTAGTGTGAAAAATATATTCTCGCAAGTTATCGTGTTTCGGGGATTTATTGGTATAAATCGGGCAGAGCCCTCTGCCGGAGTAAATCACGCACAAACTGATAACGTCGTAAAACTTTACTCGTGTAAGTTATTTAGCTTTCGAATTAGATAACTTTGTATTACTTTCTTTTTAATAATGTAACTATCCATACTATTATAATAAAGCGTAAACACACACTTCTTTGTTACCTAAGATGTTAGCAATTACAGCATATTTTTGAATAATTATATTTTTTAATAAAAAGTCCTACACTAACGTCACGCTTTAGGCTATATATTTTCACGTCATTAAGGGAGGTAAATGTTTTGGATAAAAACCCTAATGTGGGAAAGAGACCATAAGTTGCTGCCAACAACAAGGAAGCAAGATTACCAAGGTTTGTCATGTTATGTCATTTTGACATTTGCTATTGATAATTTGATAAATTTAAAGAATAAAATAAAGTTTTAATAATTTCATGCGGATGAAGCCGCACGGGCATAGCTAGTTATTTAATAATACGACATCGTGTCACTGAAATTAAAAAAATAAGTTTCGTAAGTTTAAATCCAAACACGTAATTCATGATGCATTATGATGCGTATTTGTTGTCAAATAGAACGAATGACGAATTGTTTATAAACTAAAGTTACCGTTTATAAAACAAACCTTTCATTAAAACTTCCCATTATTAGACGATTGTTTAGATTTCCACTGTAAACAACCAAGTTGAAAACATTGTCATTCATGTAACATCGGATTTGTGTAGCCAAGTGAATGAATGATTCGAGTGATTGAATGACCTTACTCATGTTATAAATTAAAATAACCTCTTGTAACAGGCGTAGGAATGTGTAAACCCATCTGGTACGAATTTATTTATATTATTTACTTCGTAATCGTTTGTGGCCAGCCGGCGTACCGGAGTTTGGTTAGTTACTAGCTGTTGAAAGGAAATTAAAAAAAAATGTAAAATATAGCCTATGTTACTCAGTAATAACATAGCTTTTTAATGTTGCAAGAATTTTATAAATCGGTCAAGTAGTTTTTGGGTTTCTCAATACATACAAAAGTCCAAAAATATAAATCTTTCCTTTTTATAATATTAGTATAGTATAGATAGTCTAAAATAAGGATAATTAACGGTCTAGCTAATATTCTTAAGTGTAACCAGGCCAGAAATAGAAAAATTCGCCATATTGCCGGTTAATATGGTATTTGAGAACGTTATATGATACCACTCCAAAAAGTGGATTTTTATATTCTCGATAAGAGCGGGCGCACATTATCCGATTGTTGATTGTTTCGCAATTCAACTGTTTAGTTGCACGATTAAAAATGTTAGTTATAAGCTTATAGGAATTGAAGCACGACTAAACAGTTGTCCGATAGTTTAGTCACAGTTGTGCTGAGGCTATATGTGTGTAATACTAACGATATTAAATGTAAAAGTTTGTCTCGTGATGCTGCAACTTTTGTTTATGCGTTTAAAAATTATATTCCTTTAGTGTTCAAATTTTTGTTGTATCATTACAAAAATTTCAAGTCTTATGTAAGTTATTGTCCGCAAACGTTATATAAAATGAGTGATGTAATCTTGTCTACATAAGGCATTCTTGTTTATGCATCATCTACCTTGTTAGAGCTGTCTTTGGTACTTTTGTACCAAAACTATCTTATATAGAAAATGTAACTTGGAAATTATACAAATAGGGACTCACCCCAACCCGCACGAGACCGCTAATACGAAAATGTGTTTATTTACGACATCACATTAGAAACCTTTAAAATTATCAGTATTGTTTTACTTTATTTTACATGTTGTTCGCGATTTCGCTTGCGTGAAATTAAAATTATATAAAAAACAGGCTATGTTATTCACAGATAAATTACCTTTCTAATGGTAAAAGAATTTTTGAAATCGGCCCAGTAGTTTTTACGTGAATCGAATATATACAAAAATACAAATCTTTCCTCTTTATCTTACTAATATTATAATATATTAGCATAGATGAAAAGGAAAGTGCAAGAACACATAGGCTGTTCACTTTTGTTTTTTTATTCCACGCGGACAGAGTCCTTTTGAATCACTATTTATTAAAAATGCATCGTAATCCGTTGTGTTTTAAAAATGTAAGCAAACATAGAGACAGACAGCAGGAAGCGACAGTAAATATGACGTATCCTTAAAAAAAAGTAAATAGTCTCTTTTTTATTCGATAATTCGCTTTGAATTATCACTGATTGGTTCAGACAGAGCACATCTAGTACCACTCAACTCTACTGATGAAAAGATTCCAGTAAGAGCTGTGTATTGAATTTGTAGCACTGATTGGATTCACAATTTGAAGTAAGAAATTGAATGAATTCATCTAATTAGGTGTGTCCAACTATCCAGCATCTCTAAATCTCACCACATTTTGAACATTTATTATTGCCAAAGATAGCTTTTACCCGCAACTAGACGCTAGGAATTTAAAAAAGCTTTGTAGACTGCTTTCTACACTATGTTCTATATTTGTGCCAATTTTTATCGAGATCTTTTAAACATTGATATCGTAGTATTTATAATATTAGTAAGAAGTAAAATTAGTAAGGTAAAATGATTGCTTAATGTCTACTTAAAATTTAACTTATTATTTACATTATGATAGATTTTGAATCTGTTTTAACGAAATCATCTCTTTACTTCGCGAACAAGGTGTTTTATAAATATCTCGGTTGTTAAAATCTCATTAGATTACGATCAAAGTGGATTCGTTGTCTGCTGAATTTTAATGTAAACACTTATTTATACAAGATGTTCGTAGCCGTAGCTCTTATGTACAAAATTATTGCTATCTCTGTTTTTGTAAAGAAACGAAAGAGATGACAGCAAAGTCGCCGATTACAGGATTAGATGTCAAGATAATGTAGTTTTTTTCATAAACAGGAATAAAGTTCCTAGTGGTTGAAACTTCAAACATTGCGAGCGTCCGGTGTAGAATGAGTCGGGAACGAGGAAAGCCGGTAGCTATTATTAGTTCGCACAACATCCGTCAGCGGTGTGTTTGCACTGCATCAAACGGCGTAAATATTTCATTATATTGCATCCTTTTTACCTATTTGGTATTACAAAAATATTTGCTGGAGGTGGCATCTAGAGTTATCAATAACTTGTTAAAATGCCAATTATTAGAGGCAATGAAACGTATATAATATGTTATTTACGTGTAAAAATGTATACCTTGATAGAAATTATCATAATCTAGCTTTCGCCAACGACTCCGTCCTCGTGGAATTATATAAAACAAAAATGAGTACAAATTTTATCGAGATCCGTCCAGATATTTTGGCTACAAACATCCATCCATCCATCTAAACTTTCGCATTTATAATATTAGTAAGATAATTAATAATAATATCGTTGTAATGGAATTTCCCGACACTAGCTGGTGTCAAGCGGAAGCCTGTTAGACGTACTTATCTCTAGAATTCTAGATATAATATCATAAATGTACTATTTATTAATCATGACTATATGTTATGATGAAATATGTTTATAATGATTTTCTCGGTATCGGTTAATAATACCGGGTATATTCAAGAAGGATCGATTAGAAATGAGTTTCACGTGTGAAGAGTACCACTCCATCCTAGCCTCGTGTTGTATCAACACCTGACTTGAGGCAATCTTAGTGGCTTGTTTACATTTGTGCCGAACTTTGACGTCACAAGCGCACGCCTTGCTATAAATATATACGATATTTTATGCGTAGGAGTATTAGTGGCAGTTCCAAACATTTCCATACAATTGTTATAGTTTACTTCAAATCGGCTATCGCGTTTGGACTGATATGATTGTCGGATTAACGATTAGCACGTCGCGGGTCGTTGCCACGATTTGCACAACAATAATAGACTCAATTTTATAAATAAGTAACCTATTGTTGGCTAAGTAATATTGAAGCATAGACATAGACTAGTAAAGTAGGCTTGTAAATAAATGTCTGATATATTATATAGATAAATTATTCTTTACGTAAGTAATACAACGTGCCACGTGATCGCCGACAACGCAACAGAGAGCCGTTTATATTAAATGTATTTTTACCCACAAATCTGACGAAGCAAAACAACTTGAAAACAACTTTATAACTCTCTGGAGTACTTTTAGTTTAATTGGAAAAGTTTTCCGAGGTTTTTTAGCTTCACAGAAATGACTCATTGTGATTAAAAGATATTTCGTCTGTATATCAGGATTAAAAAATATTACGACGTAAATGAAAGCAGTATTAAGTAACAAACAATATTACTTATTAATAAATTTGATCTGTTTGTTTCAATTTTAATGAAACCATGAATGAAACCACTATACGTCATCACCAAGGCTCTCAAAATCTTCATTGAAACGATTTATCACAAGCCAGTTTTATTATTAATACGGTCGTGTAACGTAACCGTATACTGGGGTATCTCGACCGACGTAGCGATTGCAAGGAGCCGGCGACGCGACGGCGCCATGATAACCTCTGCGCTTACATATGTCAAGGAATTCTGTAAAGGCTTAGTGTTTAACGTTTGTGGTGTTTGTTTTTGCAGTGGATGAGAAGATATTCTGCTGCCACGGCGGGCTGTCGCCGGATCTGCAGGCGATGGAGCAGATCCGGCGCATCATGCGGCCGACAGACGTGCCCGACCAGGGGCTGCTGTGCGACCTGCTGTGGTCCGACCCCGACAAGGATGTGGCCGGCTGGGGCGAGAACGACCGCGGAGTTAGCTTTACCTTCGGCACAGAGGTGAGTACACGGGGACTTTTATAGATCATTTCCGTGGTATGGCAATTAGAGTAGACTAAATTGTCGCACTGTTGTGCGATATCGATTGTCAGCCAATTCAACTGCTTAGTTGCACAAATAAAAATGAAGTAGTGTAATTTCATAGGAACCAATACGAGACTAAACAGTTGTGTGATAGTATCAAAGGTGTGCGTGCGCTTTTAACGTTAAAAATGTACTATCGGGGAATCGGACGGTGTACTATCTTCATAGCTACAATCGTTGGAACATTTTGTACGCATAAAGACGACACAGAATAATAACAATAGGGGAAAAAGGTCGTTTTAGCAAATACAGTTGCTTAATTGGTTATTTCTAAGAAGGGGCGTAGTATCTCGTTGCAAGAACAAGGCATTTTTCTGAAAGTTCAACACGGGGAATGCTCCTAACTGTACCTAATATGAAATATTGTCACAGCAACTCTTTTCTTTATTGTCTTATGTCAAGTTATCTAATTAGTTGCGGCGCTAATTGCTACTTGTAATACATAACGTGTATTATGTAAAACAAACACATTTATCGCATTAACCTACGGGTCGTGGAGTGTGGACACGTGCTCGCGACATCCGACAGCATGCATGTGCATTACGTGCTACTTGTTGAGACAATTTGCATACATTTCATGTTTTATGAATCCTCCAAATGTATTTAGTTGAAAAGTAGGTTGATATTATAAACATTTCTAGTTAAACATGCTTATTTAATAAAAAGCCCTACACTTACGTCACGCTTTAAGCTAAATATTTTCACGCCATTAAACTTAGGGGGTAAATATTTTGTATAAAATCAGGGAACAGCAGGGAAACAAGGTTGTCACCATGACATGTCATTTTGACATTTGATAATTTTACAAATGTAAGAAATAAAATAAAATTTTCATAATTTCATGCGGATGAAGTCGCACGGGAGGGAACAGCTAGTTAAATATATTTTTGATATAAAATGCCAATGTTTACAAAACACATGTCACGCTTGCACTCTGTGGTTACATTGATAACATGTCCGTGAGTGTCTACTGCACGCTGCATGTCGCGTGTCGTGTACAGCGTGTGTACACACGACACGTTGCTTGTTTGCCACAATATACGTATTTCCTATTGCATTCATCGCTGGCGTGTCTATGTTACGATAAATCGAAGTTGTTATACTAATGCAAGCTAGTCAAGGGAGGCTATTAGTAAAAATTTTTTCGTTCCAAAAGGGATGCTTTAATGAAAAATCATGGCATTTTTGAGTTATTTACATATGTCGAGGGATTGTAATTAAATGTTTTACTTAGGGTTCTGTTTATTTATATACAATTTTAACCTCGAGACTGTAGTTGTCCTCCTCCTCCCTCCCCACCCTGGCAACGTGGCCTGTGAAGGCCACCTAATCCATTGAAAATGATTTTTTTAATCTATTTCTCAGAAGTATATAGGTAAATGAGACGTAACCAGTACTGAATTGTGTCAGGTGGTGGGCAAGTTCCTGTCGAAGCACGAGTTCGACCTGATCTGCCGCGCGCACCAGGTGGTGGAGGACGGGTACGAGTTCTTCGCGAAGCGGCAGCTGGTGACGCTGTTCTCGGCGCCCAACTACTGCGGCGAGTTCGACAACGCGGGCGCGCTCATGTCCGTCGACGAGACGCTCATGTGCTCCTTCCAGATCCTCAAGCCCGCGGACAAGCGCAAGCTCTACTCCGGCCTCAACATGGGCCGCCCCAACACGCCGCCGCGCGCGCAGCCCAAGAACAAGAAGAAGTAAGTACTCGCTCTCTCGCTCTCTCACTCTCTCACTCGCTCACACCACGAGCGGCGATACCAAGTCCTTCACAACAATATCTATCTCTTTCTAACTTGTGTATTTGTAACGACGCGAAAATTAGACGGATTCGCCAACATTCCGACTGATATATTAGTATTGTTACGAATCATTGAAGTTTTGTTATTTGAAATTTCTTAATTTATTAAATATCTACGTAATAGTATATGATTATAATTTTAAAACAGTAGTTTTAAATTTTCATATAGTAAATGAAAGTATTTCACACCCCTGCACTTTGGTATCGCTTCTCGTTGAACTATTTTAATATTTCTACATCTAATTATTTCAAAAGACTCATATAATTTATTTTGTTCCTATGAACTGGATTTGGTGCTCTTCTCAGGTTTAAATGTTAATTTAATATTGTATTTTCATAAACATTTTTTTACCAATTTGCATTAAGTCTGTGTGATTTTTTTTTAATGGAATGAATTGAAATCGATCATAATTTCTTTATTCAGTTGTATATCGTATGTACAGTCGGCTTCATAATTATGCAATGATTTACAAAACTTTGGAAACCTGTATGATTTCAAGCGTATGTAAACACGTATACACGTATGACATGGATATGTTTTTTTTTTTTAAAAAAAGTACTATACAAGTTTCTAAAGTTCCGTAAATGTAGTAGTTTATGAAGCTGAGTGTTTTGACTGACTGATTGTTCGTGAATGTGTACTAATGTGTCCCCCCCCCGCAGCTAGTGGCCGCCCCCCGCGCCCCGCGCCCCGCCCCGCGCCGCCCGCACGCTCACACACACACACACACACACACACAGCGACAGACACACGCGCAAATACAAAATGGCGTCGCAAACTGACAAACCATTTTTTAATGTGTTGTTCACGTTTGTCAGCGCACGTGACGTCGGCCGCTGTGTCGTGTCATATTTTGTAAGTTTGGACGTCGCATACACTTTTGTATGATTGTAATTAACTGAACAATGAAATATTACAAGCGTTGTCTGACACTGAGACAACGCGCCGCGGAGCTCGCTTCTCTTACACCTCACATGACAATACTTGTAATGGAAATGTTTTTATATACGTATGGTGAGTGTGTGTTGCGCTGTGCTGCGCTGTGCCGCGCTGTGCCGTGCTGTGCCGCGCTGTGCTTCAACACGAACTGACGGCGGTGTCGTAGTTCAATGCACGCCGCATAGTTTCGTTGTGCCGACCCTTTTGTACTTTAATTTAAAACGAATGTCTTCTAGTTCCGCTCTGTGTCAGTGATATCAGCATGTAATTTTATTTTTTTTACCGTAGTCGTGGAAGTGTCGATGTGATGAATGGTGTATGTTCGTTTAGATGTTTGTGTGCGCTTGTGTCCGACACCCGGCGCCGGCCGCCCCGCGCCAGCCGGACGGCGGCCGTGGCATCCGTCGACGTAATCGATAAACTTGTAATAATTAGTAAGCGTAACATAATGTAGTTTTTTGAAAAACTTGTAAAAGTAATCGTTCCGTCTCGCTCTCGCGCCGGCGGAGCGCCTGCGCCCGTTAATATTGAATTTGTATTTTAAACTATAAGTAAATTATGATTAATAAATCGAAATGAAATCTTAATTTTTGTTTGAACTTCCGACAACTGAATGAATCGAGTATGAAGTCAAATGTAAGGAGCGCGTGTGACGTCACGTCGCTGGCAGCGGACACGCGCCACCAACACGTGAGCATTTGAATCAAACATGTATGAACAATTGTGTATTTCATAAATAAATAATTTTAAAACGAAATTCTTGGTTTTACTTATTTATTGAATTAAGAATTGATGAAAAATACGACTACTTAAAAAGAAGATTCCCCATACATACACGCATACATACATTTCGCGAAATCACTTCAAGATGACTTTATTTAGCTACAGAGAAATGAGCAACTGCAATTTTAATAAATGAAACAAACAAAATATGCATTAACAGTTTTATTGTAAGTATGCGAAGCAAAATAACTAGTTACAACTAAATTGAATGTTGACTTTGGAAATATGTTAATTTTCTATTGCAATTTGCACATTATTTTTCGTTTACATTCACCAATAAAGTGTAGTAAGAGAAGGAAGTTTTTATAATCTGCAAAAGAAAATATCCACATTAGAGTTGCAACAGAAAAAAAACAAAATTTAATTAAAGAAAACAATTTAACCCTTATATGCATTATTTTTTCTTTTTAAATACCATAAATTGCACATAGATTCAAGTGAAAGTAAAGCAAAATATTGATTTCAAAAAAGTCTATTATGTAAGGAAGAAAAGACTGATGCATAAATGCATCACCATGCATTTAAGGGTTAAGAGAGAATGCAGTTATAATGTGTTAGCTGACGACGAGGTAGGTGTGCAGGTCCATGGGCAGGAAGCCGCCGGCGCGCAGCGCGGCGCGGCCGCTGGCCTGCAGCACGCCCAGCGCCAGGCGCCGCGCGCGCGCCCCCATCGCCCCCCACCCGCTGCCGTACGCCGCGCCGCGCACGCGCTCCGCCTGACACACCAACATTATAAATACAAAAGATTAGATGGATGGATGTTTGTTAGAGTTTGTACCCTAAATGGCTGAACGAATCTGCATGAAATTTGGCATAGTCTGGAAATACCATAGGCTACTTACTTTTGTTTTTAAATTCCACGCAGTATATATATATATATCCACATGACGCTTTTGTGTGTTCAAACTATTACAACTAACCTGTACGATTATTTGATTGCCGAAGTAGCAGTAGACAAACATGTCTAGCGCCACCGCCGCCAGGTACTCCACTGTCACCATGTCGAACTTCTGCAATCGAGACTTACCCTCTGTGTCATGTTACGGTTTATTTTAAGCTAGCTGTTGCTCCCGACTTAGGCCGCTTCAAGTTTAAAAAAATTAGTAAAATTTTAATATTATTATGCTACTCAGCGATAACATAGCTTTTAAATGGTGTAAGAATTTGTCAAGTCAAGAAATCGGTCCAGTAGTTTTGGAGTTATTTCAATACATACAAAATACAAATCTTTCCTCTTTATAATAATAATAGATATAGATTATAATTCTTAAATCAACTCTTGTGAGCAACACCAAAGTTATTTGCGTTAGCGATGGTATGTATAAAGATGTGTGTGACCTCTGTGGCGGCGTACAGCAGCGTGCAGAGGTACAGTGTGACCTGCACGACGCGCAGCGCGAGCAGCGGCGAGGCCAGCGCCTGGAAGCGCGCGCGGCACTCCGCCGCCGTCTGCAGCGCGCGCGCGCACTCCGCCAGCGCGCTGCACGTGCCCGCCTCGTACTCCGCAGAGTAGATATCTCAAACAAAAACCAAATTACAGTATTATTTTAAATAAATAAATAAATTGATAATCATCAAAATTTAGATGTAATCTCTTACCGAATTCTGTTTTATGTCCTCGAAAATGTTCCTAAAACAAATTATAATACAAAAAAATAAAGTTGTAGATTAAATTAACCATTAACTACTATCAATTATGAAACATAAAAAAACAAAAGAGAGTAGTCTATATGTTCTTCCATCTATCCTCTACATCTATACCAAATTTCATCAAAATCCGTTTAGCCGTTTAGGCTACAAACGCCAACAAGCATCCATCAATCTAAACATTAGCATTTTATTAGTATGATTACCACTGGCTGATCATAGTGAAAGCGTGACTCCTTCATTTCGGAGACGTTGTAGGAGTACGTGTGTCGCTCGTCGTCCAGCATGTGTGCGTGGTGGTGCGAGGCGGCGAGCGCGGAGTGCCGCACGCCGGCCGCCAGTAGCGCCGAGCAGCGCGCGTTGCGCAGCCCGCAGCACGCCACCTCCACCTGCCCGCACACCAGTATCGCGTGCGCAGCGAACAGAACACCTGACACACATCGCTACTATACTTTATATGGTACCGTTCTCATTCCGTCCTACCATTCTCAACATTGTATATGATACGCACCCAGCTGACCTACCGCGAGTCCCACGAAGGCCTGGCCCACGCATTGCTTCAAGAAGGCGCAAACGATATCTGCGGTCGTTGTAGCGTCCATGTAGATCCAACCTTGCAGCGGCTGCTTCGTCCAAACTAAAACATTGATATTTTCCTTATAGATTGTCAGATAATTAGTACCCGCAAAAGAAATATACTGTCAGCAATACCGAATGGTACTCACGATGTGCAATCACAGGCGATATGACGTACATAGCGACACTAAACAGCGTGCACGCAGTGTAGAAGTAAGCGAAGTCCCGAGCCGCGCGGTAGCTACCCAGCATGGTCATGTTGGTGAGGCCGCGCGCTGAGTGGCAGCGGAAGCGACTGTTGATGAAGTCGGTGAGGTCGTACAGCTGGCGCTTGCGCAACGCAAAGTATGAGACGATGGCAAGTGAGGCCAGCAGAGGTAGCCCGTCCGCTAGTTCATCCAGGCTGTCCATCACGCCATGCCACTCTGTCAGCAGGTGCGCGAACAGAGCGGCGGTCAAGCTGGCCAGCGAGAACAGCACTAGCGCCAGGTATAGGTAGTTAGTGATGACCTCGCGCTCGCATTTCGGCTCCCGGTACCAATCCCAGCACGCCACAATCTTCAGCGGCAGCTCGAGGAAGTGCGTGTAGTTAGTTATCGTCTCTATGTTTAAAGTAGATTTCTCGGGACGTTTCTGGAAAGGGTTGAATAACATTTTGCGGATTTTAAGCACTAATTTCTTTCTATAAAAGACTAGCAACGATGCTTGTCTTTTATATCGGGTGAAATTAATTAATTATTTAGCCGCACTTAAATCGGCGTATCATTAACGATAATTAACTCTTTCGAAAGTTTGCAACTTGGCATCGAGAAGTTTTAAGTTGATAATTTGAGAATACTTAACAAGCCCCACATGAAGTACCGAACTTTTTGGAGTCATTAAAGTTTAAGTACAACTACATACAACAAAGTTATATAAGCTAACCGAGGACAACCAATTCTTGGGTTGGGGCCACTATCACCTTCTTCATGCCATAATTTTTTTTTGTACCCAAAGAAATTAGTTTCATATTTTTCTGCAATATGGACGCACTTACTTATTAATGGTACATGTAAATAAACAACAAATGTATTTAAAACACTTTTATTTATTAAAAAATTAAAAAGCTATCACATTGTGTTTTGCGCTGACTCTGCGTCTCTGAAATAAAAAGGCCATTTTAACAATGGAGCAAGTGATAGAACATAATGCCGTGTATTTGTGTGAAGGGGGCGTACTTCTCCTTGGAGCGTCGGTGCGCGATCCTGTATATGTTGCGCAGCTCGAGCAGCGCGCGCATCACCAGCACCAGCTGCTGTTCGAAGTCGTGCGGCGGAGCGTCGGCCGGCATGCGCTTCTGCGCGCAGATCTTGAGGTAGAGGCTGCGCACGGCGGCGCGCACGTGGCACAGCTCCACGTGGCGCGCCGCCGCCGCCTCCTTCAGCCGGTTCAGCGCCAGCTCCCACTCGATCACACGGTTCCGCACCTTGTCGTAGCGCCACTGACAACACCCCCGCCCATCATTATAATCAATACCCACTTGCTAGATTGCAACAGTCGTCAAATGTTGGTATTTATTATACCCTGAGGTCAGCGAGCGTGTTATTGAGTCCCATGATGAAGAGCTTCTTCTCCTCGGTGAGGGCGGCGATCTTCTGGCGCGCGTTCTCCAGCATCCCCAGGTCCCGCTCCTGGCGCTCCGCTAGAGTGTTCTTAGCGGCGGCTGTCATGTGATTGTGATTCATATTACTACATCAGTAGATACATAATTTGCGCCTTTGGAACTTACCTAGAGCTTCATAACGATTTAACACGTCTAGGGGTTGTTTAAATTCAGGATAATTTCTGACAACCGACATGAGGTAATCCTGCAAATTACAACCAATTATAAGTACTACTCCGCGTAAGTTTGCTGAGATAGTAGCGAGGGTAAGTTGTGGCGCACCTCGTATATGGTGTAATCCTGCACCTGGTGCTCCATCAGCCGCTTCACCTCCTCCATCTCCGCGACGCGGCAGCGCATGGCCTCCGTCTCGCGCGCCTTGCGCAGCAGCACTTGCCCATCCGCCTCCATCTTGCGCTCCGCTCGGTCGCGCTTCTCCTGGTTCTCTCTTATGAACTGGAAGATTAACATATGATTTTTCGATTAATTTTTATTACGCACAATGTTCTAATCGGGACAAGACTTCGCCACCGAAAACTTTATCATAGCTGTTGATTGACCTTGTTAAAACTGATAAATGATTCTTTCAATAACATCTCTTTCTCCCGCAGCTCGAGCCACTTGGCGTCCATGACGACCCTGTTCTCCTTCTCCTCTTCCCGCTTCAACACGAGCTTCTCATCGGCCTCCATTAAGTCGCGCCGCGCCTGTTCCATCAACACTTGCGGTGTCGGTCGCGCGACATCCCATACTGGATACTTCCTAAAATATAAGTTAATATGATGCGCTTTTCACATCATAACAGCCAGGATGTTGCTCGAAAGGCAATTATAATAAATCCCGAATATACGTCGATGGTATTAGTGTTTTAACTCGATCACGAGAGAAAGTCACCTCGTCATGTTCGCAGTCTCCATTTTAGATTTAAAATATTCCGCCGTGGACTCCACAGGCGGGCCATGTGGAATGGCTATAGGTGCTAAATCTTTCATTGTATTCTTCTTCATTTTGATGATTACTATCCAGAAATTTTATTAAAATTGCAAAATGTTAAATATACCAATCTCAAATCTTAATAATCAACTAGGTTGCCTAGCAAACATTAATTTATATGGCAACACTTCAAATATTTAATGTAACTGTCATCTTTGATCGTTTTGTTTATCTTTTTTATCTATGCTGTTTTTTATACTCTACTCCATAAATATATCTTGACTTTTGTTGTCAATCGCCATATTGTCAACATAACCTCTTATTCTTAGTAATAAACCCGGTACAAAAAAGCATTTACAATAGTTCAAAATTAATAAACACCATTTACAATCATTGATCTAAAACGTAGAATGGATCTTACTTTCCTTTCAGGGTTAGGATGTGGGATTTGTATTGGAATTTCATTGTTTGCACTAAGAAAATACTTCGGATTCGTAACAGATTCTGTGAAAGCTGTAAAACAGGTGATTTCTTGCTATTGTTCTTTCTGGTGATGTGGCAATATTATAATTCAACTTACAGATATAATAGATCTATTCAACATTATTTGTAATTATTATTTAATAACCTTAAAAACTTTCTTTGCAGTTTTCTTCCAACTCTGAATACAAGCTTGTTTTAGTCGTAAGAACAGATTTAAACATGGGCAAAGGTAAAATAGCAGCTCAGTGCAGTCACGCGGCCGTCGGTACATTTGAAAAAGCACAGAAAAAAGATCCAGAGAGCCTTAAAATCTGGCAGCATACTGGCCAGGCGAAAATAGCCCTAAAAACTGACTCCTTAGATGAAATTATAGAGATAAATAATAATGCGAAGAAAATGGGTCTGATAACATCTATGATTAGGGATGCAGGAAGGACCCAGATAGCGGCAAACTCCATCACAGTGCTGGGAGTTGGGCCTGCACCTAAAGACATCATTGACAAAGTGACAGGACACTTGAAGTTACTCTAACAAAATAGGCGAATCTAATTGAATTTAAATGTTTATTACAGTACCAAGGGGCCTTACCATTAAATACATTTAGCTTATGTTATACAGTAACTAACGGCTGGTATAGAGTTTAAGCAAATAATGGCTAGTCACATTGGCTTGCAGAATGTGATCTCATCAGAGATCAATAAATACTCAAGTACTTCAGAAAGCAGTGTGGTGATACATATTTATGAAGAAAAATAACATTGATATCCATAATATAAATCAACAGTGGCTATAGTTAAAACATGTGACTAAACAGAGTTTAACTATATTTTTTGTGGTATTACAGTAATCATTCATCTAAAAATGATTTTCATTTAATCCCTTTATAAAAAATGCATAAATCATATTGAAAAAAAAATAGTTTTGTCACATTCCTACCAATGAAGTAAATTTCAAGTATACAATGAATTGGTATATTTCATACTTTATTGAAAGAAATAAAACAAGTTTCAATTTAATGTAATTTATTATTAACATAGAAAATTTTGTAAGGCGGCTTCAAAATGGAAAGATTGTTACATTTTCGGACTTCCATTATTTAATTTCTTACACAAACAGATTAAAAGAAGAATTATTACAATCTTATAGAAATACAGATATAGGAAATTCAAATTAAATGTTGAGATGAGCGTTCTAAGATTAAACCTCTTTTTCACTGGCACAAATCTTTCGATGAAAATTAACATATGTACGGTTTTCACTGGAGTTTGCAACTACTAACTTAGTGGAAAAGAGGTCTAATCCCTGCCTTTGTGTTGAACACAGCGGCAAATACGAAAAATAATTTCAAATTACAATTTTAGGGAAGACAAAACAAACAAACAAGCTTTTTTACCAAATAACAATTATATTCGAATTCTCTGTTATCACTAGTAATTTCAGGGACAAGAAAATTATTAAAAATGCCCATAATTACAATTCACTGTCTTAATTTAAGTCAGTCAAAAATTTGTTATTTGTTAAATAACACTGGCTGTTAAAAAGCTTGCTTGATAATGAAATAATAAAAATCAAATATAACTAAATTCAAAACATAATAAAAAACTAACAAACTAGCTTCCCTAATATATACTAGAAAAACATTACAGCGTCATAATAAGAGAAAAACAATAAAAACTTTTGGTGGGTTGTGTTTATAAAGCAATTTTGTAATGACACAAAATGTTCTCATCTTCGGTGTTTGCTACATACGATCAGTTACAACTGTCAGTTTGTAGCGGGCTTTAGTAACCATTGCACTGATACTGTCAACTCAGTTTATAATTTAACTAGACATAAACTGTTAAGGATTATTTGTCATTTCAATATTACGTTAATAATTTTTTTTGTAAATCACATTTTTTGGTAATTATGTCAACTTATGTGGACCTACAAGGATATCTGGAGCGGAGTATATAATGTAAATTTAATGCCAATATCAAAAATGTGCTACAAAATCCTAAATGTTTTAATGTTATTTTCTATATCCCTGTTGGTTATTTCCTATCGTCAAATTGTGAATACTAACAGATCAAATTATGTAAACTGTTTACATAAAAATAAAGTCTGTATCTTATATTTTCAGATATTCAATTTCAGTGTAAAGTAACATAATATATTTTATAAGTTTCAGAGAACATTGTACTTAATATTATAAACTTAAAACTATACTTATGCTTAAAAGTAAAAAAAATAATCAAAAAATGTACTAAAAACCGCAAATTATTATCAAAATTTAACATATTGCAATAAAAATATAACTAAAAATGTTGGTAATACAAACTTGTCATAAAAAAAAATTAAAAAATGTTTAGGAGATTATTTTTTAATTACTTTTCAGGGTATTTTATAATTGAATAAAGTATACGAGATACTGATAGTCTGTAATTCTAAATGGTTAGCTAAAAAACCAAAAACTGGCAAAAAACAATTAATACAATAGAGTAAAAAATGTTAAAACCCAGTTAAGTTACTGAGGCAATATTTGTCATACTGCACCAAGGTCACTTTGTTACTTACCGTTGCAGTGGTTGTACAGGGCGGTGGCAGTGATAAGTTAAAGTGTGGTGACAACTGCTGGAGGTGCTACTGGCGGCCGGCGCTGCCCCTGAGGTTGTCGAGAGCGTGCGCGAGGCCGGCGAGGCAGGCGGAGTACTGGTCGAGCGCGCGCTGGTCGCTGCGGCGCGCCGCCTCGCCCGCGCTCACCTCCATCATGCGCTGCATCACCTCCAGCCCCGTCACCACCGCCTTCGCGCCCTTTATCTGCAGCTGGGGCACCACGCATCTACCTTCTTATCCATGCTAATATAATACACCATTACCACACTACTTCGTGGCGTAGGATGTCAGCTATCACACCATATTATTAAATTATTCTTTCTTTGATAAAAAAAGCTGTTATGACATGCTAGGCTAGTTAGGTGATATATTTTCACGCTATTAAACTGCAAGACAACCAAAGAGTATATAAAATCAAAGAAGCAAGGTTTCCATGGTAACAGAAATTGTTATCCAGTGTCAAAGGCCTTCATGTCAAGGTCACGTACATGAGATACCGCGGGGACAGGCAGTGCAAAATAAAGGCTGCTAAACAGTTAAAACTTGTCTGATTCAAGAATGACATATGTCAATTTTCCATGTGGGTAATGTGTACCCATACGTTGGGGTGCTGGTTCGTTAGTTAGCCTACCTTGGGAAGCGTGATGACCTCATCATCTGTGTCCGGGATCTCGATCTTGATCTTCTTGCAAGAGTCTGGCGCAGCGGCGGCGGGCGGTGCGGGTGCTGCGGGCGCGAGGCGGCGCTTGCCCTTGGCCAACTCATCCTCGTCGCGGCGCAGGTCGCGTTTCGGGCAGGCGCACACGCGCGCGCCCACACTCTGCCGGCCCAGGATCTGACCACTGACACCGCACCATATGTCTTAGTATCTGAGCAGTGTCAAAGCGGTATGCGGACGCGGCCGACGTTATACTGACAGGTGATTCTCGAGGGTGAAGACGATGGCGGTGTTGCGCCGATTGATGCCGGAGGAGCAGGAGTTCTTGCAGACGAACTGGTAGGCGTGCGGCGCGGGCTGCGGCAGGCGCACCAGCACCGACAGCCACGAGTCGGGCAGGCGCGCCGCGCCGCAGTAGTGCAGGTCGGCCGTGCCCAGCGCGCGCGCGGACCGCAGCACGTTGCGCACCACCCCCTCCTCGCCTGCGCACAGTGCTCGTCACACGCCACCCCCCTTGTATACTGTGTGTGCTGTGTGTGCTGTGTGTGCCACTGACCGGGGTTGTTGGGCTCGTGCGCGTGCTGCAGACAGCGCTCGACGCGCTTCTCCTTCTGCGCGTCGTCGGAGAAGACGACGGTGGCGCGCACGTACAAGTCTTCGAGCCCCGGCATGTGCGGGCCGCTCGTGTTCCACGTGAAGTGCACCGGGAACTCCACGCCCATGTCCACGTAGATGCGGTTCAGCTTCGCAGAGTACTGCGCAGCGACACGATACGTCAACACTGCCCTACCACCTTAACGCACTACTACTACTAACCTACTGTCCTACTGCATTACTATACTGTCTTATTCTCTAAGATATTACATAATCGAAAATTTCCTCTGAAACAAGACCTTTCCTTCTATCATAGTTAAATTGCATTTTTGGTATGAATGTTAATTCGTGGCGGTATGCCTACTTCAAACATATACATACGAGGTCCCCACCTTTTATGTTTTCATTAATTGATTCAAGCGAGTGTTGGCAAGTATCGACGTAAATCTTTCCATCCACACGACGCACTATCCAGTCGGCGTGTACAAAAAAACAAATTTTAATTATATATTTTAAAAATTATAAATGAAGCAAACCACTCAATCTACAAGTGGTCATATTGACCATAGATACACGCCAAATTATACATAGATTAAAGTATAAATTTTAGTAAAGTTACTGCCTTTAAAGTAAACTATAATAATATAATGCGCTACTTTATGATATTAGCATATACAGACTATGTACTTAATCCTCTACATTCTAATGCTGTCTCGTTCTCCTCATAAACAAAAACTAGCCATACCCTTCCATTACATCCATCTTGCCTATGTTTTTACTCGGTTCCTTTATTCTAAAGCATGTTGTTAAATTGCATATTACCATTACTATTCATTTGCAAAAACTTTCAAATCCTACATAGATATTTTTCTAATCTCATTGAAAAGAGTTTTTTTTTCCTCTTACATTTGTGTTATTGTCTTTTGTCTATACTTATATTATGAAGAGCTATATATTAAAAAACTACTAGACCTATTTTAAAAATGTTTCCCATTGGACCCAACTATCGATCCACGCATTGGGAATTCGGGAAAAATTATTAGAAAGTTACGTTATTACCGAGTAAATTCGAATGGTAAAGTTAGTACATTTTATGCGATATTTGTGGTCGTTCGCGTGGTGACAACGTGATCGCAAGTCGCTATCAACCAGATACGGAGCTACGTCATAGCGACGACATTTGACGAAAATGACATCGTATTATGAGTGTAAAAGGTGAAATCAAAAGGGCTATATTTATGCGAGCGAACATCTCTCTAGATAATTAGAGTAAACAAGTAGATTAGATATTCAAAATAATCCATCAAGCTTTACGACACGAAAATTGTATTAGCGATAATTTAGATAATAATCGATATATTTTAATACTTATAATTTATATTATAACGATAATAAAACGATTATACAATTATGGATATTAAACTCATTAAAATAAAGTTCTCACGCTTCGTTACGTCGACAGAAGGAAGTTTTGGAGCTAAAATTAAGTTTTTTAAGCCTTGTTAAGGATTTCCCAGATCGGTAGAGACAATGTGGTCCTGATTTGCCGTAGCTATGCAAGTGAGCTAGGGGAATTTCTACGTCGGGTAGTTCAGAAGTGCATTTGAAGGTCCCGAGATTCTTTCAAATTTCACCCAAAGAAAATTAGCGAGGAAATGTTACTGAATCAAGTCAAAATTTTTTTCCATAAAACTTTCAAATATGTTCAGTAAATCAGTTCTGTTCAAAAAATATTAGACACTTATTTTTATTATCGGCATATAATTATTTTTCTATAAATGTTTTCAACATTCAAACTAAATATGAAATGTAACAGCACTTACCAAGAACTTTTTTCTATCAGTCTCTGAAGACTTTATTTCCACACCAAAATTAAAAAATCCGGGAAAGCTGCCTGTCTCCGGAGGTCCTATAGGTGATGTCTGCAACATATACCAACATCGTACAACCAGCTTACAACAAATAGTAAGATCTAGAAGTGACAAATCACATAATCTATACTAATATAATAAAGCGTAAACACTACTTAGTGGAAAACATCGTGATGCAACCTGCACATATTGGTGAAGAAATTCAAAGATATGTGTGAAGTCAACCAACTTGCACTTGGCCAGCGTGGTCGACAAAACACCCTTACTTAGGTAGGCTCTGAGCCCCTCGGTGGGGATGTGATGCTGATGACACTACATGGCATAGAATGTCAGCAATCACAGCATGTTTATTATATTAGTATAGTAGTATAGAAGCTTGTTTAAAACTTACAGGAACAAATGCACTTGTGGGATTAAACTTCACAGCTGCATCTAAAGTCTCCTCTTCCACCAGGAAATCTTGCATGACAGATATTTCTGGCATTAGTGACAAGTCTCTGTAACACATAACATACTTAATCTTACTAATATCATTAATGGAAAATTTTAGATGGATGAGTATTTACTAAAGTTTATAGCCTAGTTGGCTGAATAGATCTTAATGAAATTTGGCATAGCTGTAGGAGTTAGTTTGGAAGTACACAGACACTACTGTTGTTTTTTTTATTTCATGCATGGGTAACTTTTATAAAATGAAAAAAATAGTTGTTTTTTTTAATTATAAATAGGAAACTTTATCATTTTTATATGCAACAAATAAAAAAAATCACAGGAAATATTTTAAAAATCTTTCCTTGAATTCCTTAATTCTATTAATCATTAGTTTTTTTTAATTGTTCACAAACAATGTCGTGAGAAAACGCTAGTAAAGTGTAAAATGTTTAATTGCAATTCCCTACTATTACATCATATTTATAAGAAAACAATTAATGATTAAAAAGTGAAATAAATCAAATTCAATTATTAATACATGCATTTTCATGTTTTTTAAAGGAAAAACTATAAAATATAATTATAAATATTTGAACTCACCCATTGATATGTGTAAAGTCCGCTTCACTAAGAAATGTATCATTTTCAAGTAAAATCTTTTTGAACATGTCAGCTGATTGTTCTTGCATCTGTAAATATTAATTTTTAGCACTATTATGGTGAATTTAATACTCTCGGTATCACTCGATTGTATTCCATTAAATATATTTAATAAGTAAATTATTTCATTTTTATCACAAGTAAGGAGCTAACACTATAGACTGGTATAAAAACAATTTAACAAATATAATACAACAATTCAAATATAGAAAATTCAACTTTTACGACAACGAAAATCTATAGGGCTTCCACTGTTTTGTGTTAATTTCTAATTTTCTAACAACAACATGCCCTAAGTTTACATTAACCTTTCTTACACGGATACATTTAATTTATTTAAAGAGTAATTTCCAAAAACTACAAAACATAAAAATGTTAAAAAGTAAGGTTAATATAACGTCCGAGACTTGAAAGTCTTACCTGTAATAGCTATAGTTGAATTAAAATGAAAAGAAATATTGACAAATGTTTATTGAGAGTTCATAGAACTTATAAGTAACACTGCTATATAAACAAAAATCACCAATAAATCATTACAACTTCAGAACACAAATGAATACAAAATCAAAAATTTCGAACAAAAGCACAATAGACAAACAAGCTAAATCGAATGACAATGATTGAAATGAATGAATGAAGCGAATAAAGATAAAGAATAACATAGAATAACAAGATGGAGACAATTCAACCGTTTTGAAAATATTACAGAAAGAGAAAGAAAACCATGTCCAGTTTTTAACAACTCAAAATTACAAAAAACCTGAAAACCAGTAGAGAAAAGGTATGATTATTTAAACGTTGAAAAGGCTGACATAATCAATACCTAAGGTGTCGGTGATATGATCTTGCGTTAACATCTTCGAAGAATTAACATTTTATTTTGAACAACCATATCTGCAAATTGTCTGAGCTGAATCTGACTTTCATTAAGGGGTATTTATAAAATGTATGACAAAACAAATTAAACTTTAAAACAAAAACGTCTGGAATTATTATTTTTTTATCTGTACTCTAAGATTACCATAACTAAAAAAAAGACGAAGTTAACAAAGTATGAAAAAAATATACGAACTACGAACGCTTCACTTGTGTTTTTTTATAATTTTACTGTCATTAAAACTGATAATTTGATGCAATATTCGTATGCAACAGATATTTTGACATAATATTGTATTCTATTATGTGATTCTACAGTGTGTCAGTGGATTGAAGTGCGAGTTCTAACTAAAATCAATAATAATCAGTGACCAACAAAGGTACGCTGTGTTTGCTTTTACTGAGCGTATAACCTGTGTTTAAGCTGGCGTCCGGTTGGCGTCTGTCAGAGTTAAAGAGTTAACACGAAAGTGTCCAATAAGTGCTATTTTGTTACCCGAGATGCGCGGAAATGGGTCTTTGTGCCCAAACATATAGTTCCATTATAAGCGGTTTCTGTTTGTAGTGTGCAAGATGAATTATGATGCAGAAAGAGCCATGAATCAAAAGCGATTGAGGATGGAGGGAGAACCGGGGCACGGTGTCGTGCAAGGAAATGGATTACCACTTAATTATATAGGTATGTGGAGTTTCGGGAAATTTGAGCGGGAAAAAAACCGGAGTCATTATCGTCATATTTAATTTGTTGTTGTAGATAATGGGCATCAGATACCATACCAACCTTATGCAGGCGCTTACAACACCCATTACCCACCACCGGATGCGTTCGCGGCATACGGGCCTCCGCCCCCGGGAGGTTATGCCCCTCAGAACCTGTCGTACGCGCCGCCCGCCCACCAGAACTACGCTCATCACCAGAGCTTTCCGCCACAGCAGCCACCTCAGGCCCAGCTCCACATGCCTCAGTCACACATGGGTATACATTTATCTTTACACTAAAAATATATTTAATTCTGATAAATAATATTTGCTAAACCTTCACTAAATATACTCAAATATAATGTCATTCAATTTCCTTGTGATGTATCAGGTAAATTTCTGACCTTTGAAAATATCTTCTATTATTATGACATTTATGATGAATTTAAAATTAAAAAAGTACTAGTACAATTATTGTATTGCAGTGCAAGGTTATGGGCCGGACATGGTGCACAAGCCAGCGTGGGCTCCTCAGCCGCAGCTGCTCGCACCGCTCGATGCACAGAAGCCTCTTGATATCAAACACCTCAAACCCGAGATCAAACTGGAGCCAACTGATGCACACAAACGGTCACATCCAGAAGCTGAAATTATGGTAGAGTTGTTTTTTCTAGTAGAAATGTAGCCGCAAGTATTCTTCAATGTTGTATTTAACTTTTTTTATGTCTTAATCATATTTTATCTATAAATAGTGTTGTAACATTTGTTAATATTTTTAATTTGCTTAATTTTTTAGGTTGGTGATTTGGATCAGCCAAAAATAAAAATAAAAACGGACATATTCAAGCCGGACGATCTTGCACACAGATCTGATCTAGACAAACCTCATGGTGAGTTTTGATTTAATATCTGTTGGTTACTGAAAAACATAAAGTACTATTAAAATCATCACTTTGTCCTTTTGTACAAAGGAAGCAATTTTTCGTTGTTATATTATAAACTTGCAGTTGCCTATGACTTCGTCCGCGTGTTATTAGAAAACATATAAACTATATCAGTAATAAAAAGGCTTCGTATCCCTCGGGAACCGGACATTTCTCGGGGTTGAACCTCATTCCATGTGTACTCCAGACTTTGTTTTATGTCTCTGCCAAATTTCAATAAGATATGTTGAACTGTTGCAGAATGATTGAGTAAACATTAAAAAATTAAATTAATGAAACCCACAGAAACCGTAACTAGTCCCGGGATAAAAAGTAGCCTATGTGTTCTTCCAGACTATGCTCTAAACCTGTGCCAAAGTTCATGGAGATCGTTCAGCCGTTTAGGCTACAAATGCTAACAAACATCCATCCATCGTAACTTTCGCATTTATAATATTTATATGATTTGTAAGTTTGGATGGATGAACGTTTGTGTTATGTATCTCCAAAATCGATTAACTGATTGTTGAATATTGTCCCAGATGTATAGCAAAGTTTAGAAGAACTTGTAGGCTACTTAAGTTTTTAATGCAAACAAAGTCGCGAGTAAAAGCTAGAATTTAAATGTACTAAACGATAATTACATTATCTACATTGAACAATAATAGGTCTATCTAAGTTACTTTTTCTTTTAGTTAATACATTTATTAATACAAACACTGCATCAAAGTTTGTTAATGGCAACATTTAAATTAAATTGATTTTAATATTTAAACTTCTAGTGCAGGTTTATCTTAATTCTCAAAGAATATTTAAAGTTATGTAATTACAAAAAACATTGTGAAATATATGTTATTTTACAGATATATCTCAGAAGCCTTTAGATATACAGAAACCTCCGGAACTACAAAACAAAGGTTAGTTTATTTTAGATTGTTTGTATGTTGATATATATTTGTGTATAAAAATTAAAAAGGTAAATACATTCCAGATGAAATACAAACTCAGTTAAGAACGGAAAGTATAGCGGGAGATAAAATTATTGGTGAGTTTAGGAAATTAAAACCAATTATATGTCCCCACTAATGGGGAGCCTAAGTAAGAGGTGACAAGGTCTTAGTCGACCTGCCCTGCATGTTGACTTCACATCTTTGAATTTCTTCACCAATATGTGCGTCATGATGTTTTCCTTCACCATAATAATGTTGGCTAAATAATCTACATACTAGCTTTCGCCCGCGTGGACTTAAAAAATCAAAAGTGAGTAGCCTATGGGTTCTTCCAGACTATCCTCCACATTTATGCCAAATTTCATCGAGATCCATTCAGCCGTTTATGCTACAAACTCTAACAAACATCCATCCATCCAAACTTTCACATTTATAATATTAGTATGATGAAAATTGCATAATCTGAAATCACATGGGTACAGCGGGATTCAAACTCAGGACTTGTACTACAAGTTAAGTGCCAACTTCTGAGCCACTGACACTTATTATCTTACATATTACAATGTTTAAATATTATTTTTAATGATTTCTTCATAGAAACAGCAAAATTAGAAGGTGGAGATAAAATGTGCGAGTTGCCGCGGCCCGCAGCCCCCTTGGCGAGCACGCCCACTGCCCCGTACCCCCTGCACAACAGGTTATTTATTACTAGCTGTTCCTGTGCGCCTTTGTCCGCATCAAATTATAAAAAAATTATATTTTATTGTTTACATTTGTCAAATTCTCTATGGCAACCTTGCTTCTTGATGTTGGCAGCATGTGTATGGTCTCTTTCCCACATTAGGGTTTTTATCCAAAATATTTACCCCCCTAAGTGTAATGGCGTGAAAATATATAGCCTGAAATGTGACGTAAGTGTAGCGCTTTTTATTAAAAAATAAAGGATTATTCAAAAACATGGTGTAATTGCTGACATCTTAGGCAACAAAGAAGTGTGTTTACGCTTTATTATAATAGTATAGATAAACAATAATTGTCGGTTGCAGTGAAGAGGAGAGGAAACCATTCAGCAGTCCCGATATTCCGAAGCCGGGAGCGGCCATGACACCCGGCAAGCTGACCACACCCGGACTTGAGGTAACTTATCTATGTCTAATAAAGAAGAAACATTTGTATTTTTGAAGTTTTATATAGATTAAAATAACTCAAAAAATTGGACCGTTTTAAAAATTCTTGCACTATTAAAAAGGTACGTAACACTGAGTAATATAACTTTTTAATGGTGATAAGAATTTTGAAATGGGCCCAGTTGTTTTTGCGTAAAATCAGTACATATAAATATACAAATCTATCCTCTTTATAATATTAGTATAGATAATTGCTATATAAAACTTGATGAAATTACGTGTGGTATAATGCAGTAAAGTATTGGCATTATTTAATTGAGAATAATAAATTTATTAACAGATTGAAAAAGTCTTGTAGGACATAGTGCGGGCAGCAAGTGAATGTCCTTGGAGCTTTATATAAATAGAATGTGATGAAACTTACTACAAGCGGTTTTATTTACACCGACCAATGTTTTTATAATAACTGTATATTTAATGAATGTGCTTAGTTAATTACAACACTATTGCAGCCGAAGAAGCGCGGTCGTCCCAAGGGGTCGACGAACAAACCGAAGCCGCCTGGCACGCCGCTGCGTGCCGCCGCGCCGGCGCCGGGCGCTTCGCCCCTGCGCGGCGCTGCCCCCGGGCCCCGCGCCGCCGCGCCCGCGCCGCGCCCTCGCCACCCCGCATACCAGTTCGCGGTGCGCCCCTGCAGAAAAGACTTCTCCGGGATACAGTTCAAAAGGTCATTATAACTAACTGCCAGCCCCCTTTCCTTTTCTTTTATAGATAACAATCCCACAACAAAGATTATAAAAAAAAAGAATTAATTGCTATTCGCTGTAAAGAAATCTACCTAATTTTATAGCTTATGTCATTCAGTGATAATGTAGTATTCTAATAGTGAAACAATTTTTCCCATCTATTCACCAGTTTTAGAGTTTATGAGTTACAAAAATACAAATCTTTCTGTTGTTGAGGAAATTGGAGGTGTTCCACTTGTAGATAAAAAATATCATGTTCGTCGCCCAAATGAACTTTTAGTTACTACTGAGTTATGTAAACGATAAGATAATAAATAGTATCGACCGACGTTTGATACACATTGAATAACAAATAAGTGTACTGTTGCAGGCGGTGGAGCGACGACTGCCTGGAGTCGTCGCACATCCCCAACGAGGTGTACTTCGGCGACGTGCCGGTGCCGCTGGCCGTGCTCTACAACTACTACGACGCCAACGCGGAGCGCGAGCGCCTGGCCGCGCACGCCGCGCACCTCGCCGCGCACAAGGCCGCCGCCGCCAAGCTGGCCGCCGCGCACGCGCTGCACCCGCACCGCCCCGCAGAGGTATCTCGCTTTCACTGCCCACTGCAGATTTCACAACTGCAAAGTTGTGTTTTCACTTACTTTTAAAATTGTAAGAAAATCATATATAGCGATATGTTGATTTCCAAAGGTTGATAGAATTGTCAGTTTTAATGAAGTTGTAATGTGTACAGGTGACGACGGTGGACTCCTCCTCGGACGACGACTCCAGCGGCTCCTCCGGCAGTGACTCCGGAGATAGCGACGATGTAACTATTTTTTGTACCTAATTATAATATTTTACGGAAATTTACAAAAAATTACATACTATCCGACTCGAAGGACCAATTTTATTTTATTAATCGGATTAATTTGATGATGAAAGGATCAGCCTCTTAAGCGCGGTCCGGGTCGACCGAAGGGCTCCAAGAACTCGACGCCGCGCACGCCGAGCTCGGGGAGCGGCGCTGCGGGCGCTGGGGGCGGCACGGGGCGGCGCGGGCGACCGCCGGTGCCGCCGGAGCTGCGCCAGCCCGGCATCACCGACATGAAGAAGTTCTGCAAGGCCGCCGGCATACGCTTCGACTACAAGAAACTCGTCGAAGGTATATTGTCTTTCAAATTTTAATATGTACGGAAAGCAGTGGTCTCAGTGTTTTTTTATTACAAAGACATTTATGAAATATGTAGACTAGACTTAGGGAATAACATTTTTTCTTTGGTAACTTTTTGTACGGCAATATTTCAATGTCAAAAATGACACAAGCAGACACTCTTAGTGTTTGAATTCATTTGGTATCGGACACCAGGTAGCGCTAGTGATATAACGTGAAAAATTACCTCCAGTGAAGCGTCAGATTAGCGCAAGTAATGTGAGAACGTGTGTGCAGGGTGCACCAAGAACAAGGAGCGCGTGGCGAAGATGCAGGAGCTGCTGGAGGGCGCGGGGCTGCAGGGCAAGCCGACGCTGGAGGCGTGCCGCGCGCTCAAGCAGGCCAAGCTGGACCGCAAGCAGCAGCAGCAGGCCAAGCGCGACGCGCGCGCCAAGCCGCGGCGGGAGGAGGGCGAGGGCGAGGGCGCGGGCGAGGACGAGGCGGAGGGCGAGGGCGAGGGCCGCGCGGTGTCGCGGCGCATGACGCGCGGCGCCACGGGCGTCAAGCCGCGCCAGCGCATCGTCATCTCCTCGGAGGAGGAGGACGACACGCCGGCCGCGCGCCGCACGCTCTCCAAGCTGCGCTGCAGCGTCAACGACCACTCCGACTCCGACTAGGTCAGCCTGACACACTCTACCACTTCGGCCGCATGGAATACTCGAAATTACTATAAAATCAACTATGTTACTCGCTCATATCATAGCTTTTTAACAATGCAAGAATCGTTAAAATCAGCACTAGTTTTTGAATTTAAATTCATAGGTAACTAGTTCATATCCGGCTCGAAGGACCAAGATGTCCGCACTTACAAATGAAACGCCGTAGTTATGAGAGGATATTATGGTTTATTTCCAATAACTATGGCTATGAACGGTGGTGATCTCGCGCGAACGCTGTAGTAATTCGACCTGAACTTGTGTATGCTCGTCGAGTGCATAATAGTAGAAACTACCTACACTTACGACACGCATTATTAGAGAAAATATGTATTGTGCGATGTTTACACCATGCAGTTTCCCAATAAATAAAATACGTTTGAAAGTATTTTAAACCAAATTTAAATATTGTTTCATTTTGAGGTCAAATTAACAACTAAATATTGTAATTTTCAGGAGCAATGGTCAATATGTTGAGGGTGTGCATCGGAGCCCTACTCAGAACGCTCAGCCATAGCTGACTGGCTAGTGGTCTAGTTAGCGTGCTGGCTTGCGCTGGCTAACGAGTGCAGACGAAACCAGAACCTTCTAGAAAGTGCTACGACGAGGTGCCCAGTGCCTCAGAGACGGGTCGTGTGAAGTGTCGCACAACAGTTTCCTATTAATTTTAGGCTATTTGGTGAAAATTAAGTGAAAAACAATGAAGTGTGTAGTGTTGGCAGAAGTGCTTTCATTATTCGTAAGGACATTACAGTTTTTATGACATTTATCTTTATGAGAAAGTTATTTTCTCCATCTGTTACATAAATACGTGAAATCGTAAGATATGATTTAGAACAGGTATGGATGTCTTTTTTTTTTAATCGGTGCTGACTAAGTATTTTATGAGAACAGACTTTATTACAATTGATTTGGACATTTTTGAGTACAGTGAATTTTGTCTACAATAAAAAGCACCTATCACAAGCTAAAAAGTTGATTTAGGGTCAGTCCCAGCAAATTGTAAATTGAAAACAATCCAACATGTAAAATATGTGTGACGTTATTTTTAAGGATTATTCCTATCCGTCACCCCGCTCTGTCCCCACGCGAGGACAGATGAGAATATAATGTTTTATACTTCCCACCTTTTGCGACGAGAGGACGGTAGCAAATTATTTTATTTCATAACGGTACCATCTGTCACCTTATTGTTGATAGTGGGACTAAACGGTGGGACAGATGAAACTATTATTCTCATCTTCTCCCACGTGGGGACAGATGGGGTGATGTTTGGGAATAATCCATTTTTAAGTGGGACAGGTCAGTTGGGACAGGCCTTTAATTTTATTAGTTTATGTACTACTCAGTCCACTTTTAAATACCTTCAGTATGCAGCTGGTTATTTGTGTGTGTAATTTAAAGTGTTTAAAAGTACAAGTGTACACTCGGTTGCATTAATATGTATACATTTATTAAGCTATGAAAACTTAAGATGTTGCTTAAGTTTTGTATATATATTAGTGCAACTGACTGTCTTAATTTTAATATAACACGCACAATTCAATATCACAATTAAATATTTATTATTTTTTTAAAATGGATTTTGACATTACAATATATTTAATTTCATTACATTTTATTTAATCAATCAAATCACAAGTATCTAAAAATTATCAATAATTTACGAATAAAAGATTTTTTACATAGATTAAGATATAGAGATATTTAGATGTTTTTTAAGCATTTTGGATAAATTCTTTAGATGTATTTAAGACGTCCAAAATTGAAACTTTAGCCATAGAAATAATATATTAAACAGAAAGACGTTAGATCGTAAACTGTCAAAGTTAATATGGGAAATAGATTTTGACTGCAATTATATGGGAATTAGGGATTTTTTGGTCGGGTGTTAGCAGAAGGTAGCTGTTTGGATGTAGTCTTGAAGTATTGTATACATTTATAGAAAGTAGGAAATGCAGAGAGTGACATGTTAGGGCCCATTCACACAGACCGGAACTTACATCAGAGCAGATTTTATATTGTAAATCAAATTTGAACTTTATTCAATTGGAATAACATTTAATTTTACTCTGCATGTTTTTAATAGATGTGTAAAAAAAAAATCTTTCAATAGCAAGTTTAATTTTATTTGCGATTACCGTTTACACTTTGCCAGTACAGTTGGATTGGCGTCAATAACTGGACTGGTATTCAAGTAGCATGAGGAGAAGTAACTGGAACTAGTGAGTACAGTCTGCCTTGTTTGACCTACTGGTTAAATGTGAACCCATAATCTAGTTTGTTTTAAGTCCCGGACAGTGTTTATGGTCCTTTAGGGGTAGATTGTTTATAGCAGTAGGAGCCGACCCTCGCCCTTGCGGCGCGGCGCGAGCAGCGACGCGAGCAGCAACGCGCCACGCTTTTATATAGCAGAATATTTGGAGTGACAAATTTTATACTATTAGTTTTAAATGAGAAATTATAATTAGAGATATAAATGAATTGGTGACACCAAGTGTAGATGTAGCGCTAGTGTACATAGCTAAGTGAAGCCTAAGTGACGTAATTTAGGTGTATTTTTGTACAGGCGAGCGAAGTGTATATAAGTGAGGCGTTACGGTAAGCAAAGTGTTCATAATGTAAGCAATAATCAAAATTTACGGGCTATATGTAATTAGATATTGAGAATAGTTTGTATTGTTTATTTTAATGGGTCATACTACATTAATAATGAAAATTCCCAGTAAATATGAATAAATCTAAATACACATCAGTCAATAGTTTGATCATGTCAGGTGAAGTCAAAGTAATATTAGACAAAATTTTAATTAATTCTGACTCAGTAAATAATTAAATAGAAAATGTGTAGTGTGCAAGGGCCCTAATTTTTTGTATACATTTTGCGAACGAGTATTTGATATTTTATTACTTTTAAATGTATGGTTACCCTTTATTTTATTGTTTTAATTTCAACAGACAGATAAAGCAATTGTAATATATTTTTTTAATAACTCAAACTACCCTCCAGTTTCAGTAAATATGAATGAACCCATTTTCTCTCTTTTTTTCATATATGACCTATATGTACGCTGAATTTTTATATAATTATTGCGGAATCAAAATATCAATAAATATAATGAAATTTGTACATATTAATATATTTAGTAGTAAGTTTTACTATCATTTTTGGAAGATTTGTGTAGCGCAGGTTGCGTGGAGACATGTTTGTGTGTGTTGTATGTGTACATAATGCCTAGGTAAAGCAACGCCTATTTAGGTGCCTAGATTTCGGTTGATTTTTAGTCGACTGTTTTGTATGTGACGGTCGTGTTGGAATAGTCGCTTAAAACTAATACTAATAATTTTCATTACTAAAAAATGCATAGTTACAAAATGAATAGGGTTTTTTTGAACCGACTTAAATAAGGTTTTAAATTTGTCTGAATGTATTTCGTAAATATGTCAAAGACTACAGAAATGCTAGATTTTTTTTTAATTTATCTTATTGGTTTTTTTTTCATATGTATTTTAGAATTAAAAATGACAGATTTTTAGCTATAGAACCAAACAATATTGTCAGTTATCTAACTTAATCAAAATAACACATGGATGATGTAATACAATAAATACTAAAGCGATATTTTAAAACGACCGAAACGTAAATAATACATATATTTTTAGATTAAGGGAGATGCAATTCACCTACATTTTTTTATTTAAAAGCAAATTTTTAATGCAATTATTTGCGTACAGATATTAATTGACCCCTTGCCATGTGATGAGGCATAATTATTTACTCATTCTAGTGTTTAATTGCGTTTTTAAGAATATAAAGATTCGGCTGTTTACCACAATATTTATTAAGTCGCGTTTATTTTTTAAGACCAAACTTTTTGTTCACATTAGCGAAAGCAATCGAAGAAAAGATTCTTGTTTCTGTAAAGATATGTTTTTATGTGTTTGTCAGTGAAATCTCATCTGATTTATTATAATTTTCTATTCTTTGTTTTTATTGGATTCTATAAATGAGGAATGCTTCCATATTGCATAGTGTCCTGTAAGTGCCTCGTGTAACAAAATAAACAGTTTTTGTATGAATTGTAATCAAAAATCAATGCAAGCTAATCATTTTTAAGACATTTTAATGTTTTATTAAGCATTTATATTTAATATAGCAAATATTAGAAATAGGGTAAAGATTTTTATCGACAAATAGATAATAATACATGGAATTCGTAACAGATAACACACAATTAGAAGCTATTGGTTTCTTGTAGGTTTTTGTTTTTATATTCAATCCCTATTTTTAATATTTGTGTGTTGTCGAAATATTTTGTGTGAAATCGACTGAAGTTCGTGTCTAAATTCTAAATTTGCGATATTATAACGTGATAATAATTGTTTGTGCGCGGAGGAGGTGCGAGGAGGTGCGAGGGAGCACGGATTTTTGTAATATAGTTTTATTTCGGATGTAGAATGCCATATTGTGATTAGATCGTTAGCTACACGAAGTATTTTTCAAATAAAACATCTATGTATACAAGACGCTTCGTATTTTATTTTCCACTAACACAACCATTTCCCTTTTCCAAAGACTTTTCAATGCCACCACTTGTTTTTTAGTGTTTAAGGAAAGTATCGAGATTTGTTACGAAATACCTTAAAAGTATGTATACCATGGGCGTCCCTAGGGGGTACAGGGGTCGTTGCCGCTTAGAGTACCTAAAAATATTAACTTATACTAATATTATACATGCAAAAGATTAGATCGATGGATGTTTGTTAGAGTTTGTAGTCTAAACTGCTGAACGGTTCTCGATGAAATTTTGGCATGGATGTAGGCGATAGTCTGGAAGAACACATACCATAGGCTACTTGCTTTTGTTTTTTTAGTTAAGCTCGGCAGAGTCACGGGCTAAAGCTAGTAGATAATATAAATTACTTCGAAATACTAAGAAGCCTAAACATTCACTCTGGAATAAAATAGTTTATTTACTACCACCCGTTATTTAATCATCCCCTTTGTTCTTCGAACCCCTCCTTTTAAGATTTGTTACAATTCTTACGGTTCGATAAACAAACTGGTAACGAAACTGTGTTGATAGTTACACTAATAGGGTAATTATGACAGGTGATGTGGTCAATAAGGTAAATAATGTGAAAACCCAATGTTATTACAACTCGGGAAAATTTGTAGAGGTTTACTTTGGTAATGGGGAAATCTTACATTATTATAGCAAGTGCTCCTTACGAGTGTTACAAATGTTAAAACATCACTCAACGATTATGAAAAGCCACTTCTGTTACTTGATTACCGTTGGTACGATATGCTTAGTAAATATATGAAATTCATTGATGATTTACCTTTTTAGCGTTGTTTTGCAGATTCAGCGTAGGTTGACATTTATTCATAATTCATTTCATTTTATATCATAACATTTCAAATTAGAAATCTTAAATGTATTAGATTTAAAAAAACACACACTACCTTAATCACTTATTTTTTAGGTGTATAATATTTGTAAGTTTTTATTTGTATCAAGATATATTTGACTAGCTGTTGCTTGTGACTCTGTCCGCGTGAAATTATAAAATATGGCCTATGTTACGCATAGATAAAATAACTTTTTAAATCTGCTCAGTAGTTTTTGAGTTAGTTTTATTTGTATATTTTATCCGATGTAGTTTAATATTGTATTATCGAGCTGCGGGTACAGGGCGACACGGCGTCGCTCTCTCCACGTCTCGTCGGCTGCGGTCACTTACCCACAGCGCCAGCTTTTATAGGTATCTAGGCTCTTAGGTATTCATTACAATAATGTAGAAAAAAAAACCATATTTGAACTGAGACCTCAATACGACAAAGAGAAAGGATTTGTTAGTAATAAACATTCGAATTGAGAACCTTTTCGTTCTTGAATTAAAAATAGCAAAGAGCTTTATTAAAATAGTTAATTTAAAACCAGCATCTTTAGGTTTAACTGCGTTGCATGCTTGCAGCTTATTTTAAATTTGATAAACAGTGTTTGCAATATCGGAGGTCGTTGACCCGACATAACCTCAACGTGTGCTCACCTACTTTTGGGACACGGCATTTTATGGCTTAGCTCGATCAAGGTAAAATTGATATTACCTCGCTACGTATTGAACTCCGCATATGAGGCTAACTGAATTAATATGGCCGGTATACTCGCATAATGACTTAGTAATATTAAGTTATTAACTTTGTGATTAAGTTTTTTTTTTATCTTTAAACTTGTTAGTAACGTAAGTTAACACCTCAGTAAAATGTAGATATTCAGGTCAGAAAATAAGTATTTGATTACCTTATTTTTGGAAGAATAAAAATGTACAATATTTGGTAAATCGCTTGTATTGATCTAAAGTTCTAAAGTGTCGTCTCGAGTCACGTAATTATTGTACGATGCCAAGTTTTGTGAGAATACCGTAGTCTCCGGCAGCCGCGAGCGGCCGCTCAATAACTTATGTAATCGATGAGTTACCATTGCTTTTTACCTCAGATTTATTATCTACGCTAAAATAAAACTAGCTATACTACGAGTATATGAACTTCATCATTTTTCTTAAATACATTTCCACATAAGAACATTTTCTATAGGCATTTTGATCTACCAATTATTGTTTTGTTGTTTTATCCTGGTAAAAAATCCGAATTAATTGAATGAGTACGAGGAAAATTGTGTCGTACTTGTCATCCTGGTATTGATAACAAATTGTTATTAACAGTAACGTAAACCTACAACATAGTTCCCTACTACTGGCATCTGCTATACCTTCTACTGTTTCGTATCAACTTCCTGGATGATTATGTGATCATGACAGGTTTCGCAGTAGCGTGTGGCGCAGAATGGCGAGCGGCGCTGACGGCGGCGGCCTACCACAAGTGCATTCCGGATGACCATCGGCTGCAGCCGTCAGCCGCCAGCCGCCAGCCGGCTGCCCGTGCTCTGCTCGTGTGCTCGTGCGTTACGTAACGCGCCGCACGCCGCTCCGCCAATGGCGGCGCCTCCCGCAGACACACCCCCCGACGTGCGCCCCCCCCAACCCGGCCCCGCCGCCCCGCGCGTGCCCGCACGCTGCGCGCGCCGCCGCATCGAGCGCGCCGCGACCGCACGTCATCCAGTTGTCAGCCGGCCGCCGCACACGGTGGTCCCGTCGCAGTCGAGTCGAGCCGAGTAACGTGCGCGGAGTTCTCACCATGGCCCTGCTGCGCCGCCTGGCCACCAACGCGCCCCGCGGGCTCCGGGCGCTCTCGACGCCGCCGCCCCGCACCACCGACGACCTCGACCTCACCTTTAACAGCCCGCGCGACGCCTTCAAGAGCAAGAAGACCAGCGAACTGGTGCGGGCCTATCTCGTCTACCAAATATGTTCGATCAACTGGATCGTCGAGAACAACGACATGGTGAGTGCCGGCGGAGCGATGGCTCGGTCTTACGTAAGGCGAGCGCCGTATTGTTAGCGCGGTTGTACGACGCCTCTAAAATTAACCGGTAGTCGTATCCTTGAATTTGATTCGGCGGCGGAGCGCGCGACGCGGCCGCTGCGGCGGCGCCCCCGGCCCACGTGGTACGGGCCGGGCATGTCAGCGGCTGTCGCCGGCTGCTCCCGGCTTTACTCATATAAGAGATGTTACGTAAACCAAATCACTGCTTCCCACCTTTTTCTGTTGAATGTACGGGTCTTAACATTTTACATACCTTCGCAATGTTTATAGTTTTATTCATTAAATTATAAGTGGCTACAACTGGTAATGATAAATTTGTGGTTTTGAATGAAAAATTATGGGTGCGTCGTCGTGATGTGTGGAAGTGGGGCGCGCATGCGCCGGGCATGTCGTGGGGCAAAAACTTGTCCGATATCGTATGAGAGAGCCGGGTGGAATGATCTCTTGTTACATAAAACTTGAGTGTGCGGTGTGTCCGGCGGCGGGTGCGGCGGGTGCGGCGGGCGCGGCGGGCGCGGCGGGCGCGGCGGGTGCGCTGAATGGCGCCGGTACTCGTATCAATGGCATTTGTTCGACCGGCGACCGGCGAGTGCCGAGTGCCGGCTGCCGGCTGCCGTGCGAATGTGAACTGAGAACAAGTTGTATAAACATGAAGGAAAAACTACAAACTAGTCGATGCGAGCGATTATTCTAGTGTTTAACTTATCATATTAATTAGAAACATTGGATGTTAATTACGGTGGACACATTAAAATCCTTTATAATTATAACAAAATTCCTGTTGATATACGAGTAGCAGTTGCTGACCAATAAGCCACTCAAGAGTTTTTTCGAATTACGAATACAGTTTTGAGGTCCAACACACATCACAAAACAGATTTCAACTTTCTTATAAGCCACATTCTAATAAGATTTGTTTAAACAGTGAAATGCAAATATTTACCTGTAAAATATGTTCTTATTGATTTAACAAAGGTGAATGTGGTAAGAAGTGAATCTTGCATGATAACATTCAACGTCCCAACAATGTCAACTCAAAGAATCTTTTATATGAACCTAGTCAACACTTGCGTGCGGGTTACATGCGTTGTTATGCTAAAATCAATGTGAAATGTGAAAGTTGCCATTACCGTTTGTGACATATGGCTTAGGAGTCGTTAGAGTAGATAAATCTAAAGTTAAAGTGGATTTACTTTTGTTACAAACCTTGTTATCCCCGAGTTATGTAATAACCAACAAATTGTAAGAAAAAGCTTTATTACGTAAACGACAGACGCCTCAGCGGAGATAGAACGGATATATTATTATTTTATCAAATATCAAAGAACTTTTATATTTTATACTTTCATGGGATTGTTATATTTATTTATTTGATTATCAGTTTTGTTATTACCAATATGTTTTAAATTATGTTTTTGTAAAATTTATAAAATAAAGTAGAATTAAAATTAAAACTTTAGCAATCACTACAAACCTAAATCAGTTACAAAGAACTAAGGCTAAGGACTCAGGGCCTGTCCCACCAAATTGTAAATTATATGCGTCATTTTTAAGCTAATCTGACCCTCTATCAGTCAAAATTGGGACAAGGTTTAAAGCTTTTGCATTGATACAAGTATTAAGACGTACTTTATCTATGTTATGAATGCGAAAGCTAACGATATCTGCCACTGCGACTCTGATAAAATATTATCTTAATAAGCAGTAGTCGGTAGTGGTGAGTGGTTACGCGCCCCGCACATGATTCACCGCACCGTCTGTCGCATGTCTGACGCTTATCTTACTATCTATAGCAAATAATTTTATGCAATATTATTTATTTAATAAACACTATCTCCACGCGACAGGTAATTGTTTAATTTACGTATAAAGATAAATATTTCGGTACACAAACACATTCGAGATTCAAAGCTAAATTGAACCGTATTTAAAGCAATATTTGTTCATATGTTTGTTGTCTGCAGTTAATTTTAAAACAAACATAAAAGATTTTACACGATTTCGGTGAATATCTAGCCATAGCTTCTAATTGTCTATTGGTTCGTTCGCGGTTAACCAGTTACGGAATTTAAAAATGGTGCTGTTACGTAACTTAGAATCCTGTCGATTAAAACAAAATTCTCTTAAGAAACCTCTGTTTCCCATCTTCTCCCCTATCTCATCATACTCCCAAAGGGTCGGTGGACCGGGTTTTCGTCCTCCAAATAGCTATAATCCATCATCTCGGTCATCACTGTTTATCATGTCACCTTTCACGCAATCCATCTCTTTCTAGGTCTACCTCTGCCGATGTACACCATTATATTTCTATGGGAAAAAAACTATTGTTCAAGACATTGTTGACACAGTCATCGACACTAGCACGCTACCGAATCATGATAATTTAAGTAAATAAAAAAAACATAATGCAAATATCAGTCCCGCCGTTCCGAGAACGTCTGATGTCGTGAAATTATCTTGTATTTGCTCGAGCTACTAAATAGTGTTTGCGTGGAATTGAGCTTTCTTTTATAGTATGTTGTTTTTAGATAAATATTTGTAATTCTATTCTTTGTAAATGATGCTGTTTGAATAGAAAAGATAAACATGTCTTGTAGTAGACTTGATGGCGACCCTGTAGAGGGGTAATCTTATGATATTATTTTTATCTAAGTATGCTTCTTATAATAAAGCGTAAACACACAATTCTTTGTTGCCTAAAATGTCAGCAATCATAGCATATTTTCGAATAACTCCTTTTTTAATTAAAAGCCCTACACTTCACGCTTTAGGCTGTATATTTTCACGTCATTAAACTTAAGGGTAAATATTTTGGATAAAAACCCTAATGTGGGAAAGAGACCATAAGTTGTTGCCAACATCAAGGAAGCAAGGTTGCCGTGCTTTGACAAGTCATGCCATTTTGACAAATGTGAACAATAAAGTGAATTTTTTATAATTTTATGCGGATGAAGTCGCAAGTTAAATAAAAGTAGGCACATAATACTTCATAACATTGTGGTATACATATGTAACAATAATATTAAAGACTAGCTTTTGCCCGAGACTCCGTCCGCGTGGATTAAAAAAAACAAAAGTGAGTAGCCTATGTGTTCTTCCAGATTGTCCTCTATATTTGTCCAAAATTTCATCGAAATCCGTTCAGCCGTTTAGGCTACATACTCTAACATCCATCCATCCAAACTTTCGCATTTATAATATTAGTATGAAGTATGATTGCTTACTCCATTTTTGCCGCGACTTACAGCAAACAAATGAAGAATTTTGTTTATTTATATTGGAATATTTAGTCTAGACACGACGTACTCTGTAAGATAAGAGATGTTTTGACTTGATGGAAGATGCATGTAACTGTACAAGGGGCACCGGACAAAATTAAAACAAATGATTTCTATTGTTACCGGTTTGCTATTATCGGACACGCAAATATATAATAATGTTTATGGGTAAATGATTATGAATAGGATAGGCCCTAATTCAGCTTGAAATCTAACGAACAATAAATAAGATACACGAAAATACAACTAAACCTTAATAGAACATTGTAGAGCGGTCAGGTGTCTCACGCGACTGGTTCATGATAGAAGGAAATAATCCAGATGAAACTGGTTTCGATCTACCTATGAATATGCCAATTTTGCCAATTATCGCTTTAACATTATAGTCTCTTTCCTATGTGTTTGCGTTTGTGTATTTGAGCGGTGTCACTTGGAACTAGGAGACGTTGACCGAGACTGTTACTGAGGTATTGCTTGGAATCATTCCAGACGGAGATTCGTTGTTTATTGCGATAGTAATTTCATTTTCTATAGTCAATTATGAATCTTAGTAATGTTATAAATGCGAAAGTTTAGATGGATGGATGTTTGTTAGAGTTTGTAGCCTAAACGGCTTAACAAATCTGAATGAAATTTGGCACAGATGTAGACACCAGTCTGGAAGAACACATAGGCTAGTTGCTTTTGTTTTTTATTAGGTCCGCGCGGACGGAATCGTGGACAAAAGCTAGTTGTAAATAATCCGACAAGGCCATGTCATTTTAAGACAATTTATCTGTTAGATAACTATAAGCACTAAGGTGTCTAAATGTTCTTACTGCATTGTAATATTGAAAAAAGAGCAAACATAACTTGGAAAAGTGAACGTTATTTTACCGGTAGGTTCCAGAAAAATGTAAATCAGTTTACAAATATTCCGTTTAATTCAATGTCAAGGTCGTCTGCATTAAACGTGCCATGTGTTGCGAAAACCAGTCGAGTTTACTTATGTTTTTTCTTTATCTTCTCACTAGCTTTCGTCCGCGACTCCGTCCGCGTGGAAAAAAAAACATGACTAAGTAGCCTATATGTTCTTCTAGACCATGTTCTACATCCATGGTATGCTAAATTTCATCCAGATCTATTCAGGCGTTTACTACAAACGGCTATAAATTCTAACAAACATCCATCCATCCATCTAAATTTTCGCTTTTATAATATTAGTAAGACTAGCAAGATAGTTGTCCCCTAAATGTCTAAAATATTAACGTTTGTAGCTTTATCAATTAACATAAATGTGCGATATTTGTAAGAGTCTTAAAATTTCCATACAAGGTTAACAAAAATATGTATCGAGCAAACATGTCGTTTGAATTCAATTTGCTATGTGCTAAACGGACATACCGACCGATATATGTAAGACTAGCTGTTCCCGTGCGGCTTCATCCGCATAAAATTATGAAAATTTTATTAATATATTTATAGCAAATGTCAAATTAACATAACAAAACTGGCACTCCTGCTTCCTTGATGTTGGCAGCAACTTATAGTCTCTTTCCCATATTAAGGTTTTTATCCAAAATATATACCCCCTAAGTTTAATGGCGTGAAAATATATAGCTTAAAGCGTGACGTAAGTGTAGGACCTTTTATTAAAAAAATAATTATTTAAAAATATACTGTAATTGCTGACATCTTAGGCAACAAAGAAGTGTGTGTTTACGCTTTATTATATCATATAGTAAGTATAGGTATAGATATACTTTACGTAACTTATTGACATTGTTTAATTTAGTCTAAGTTTAAATAGAATATTCTAGATTTAGGTGTAACTTCGTTGTCGAATGAATCGTTTTAGGTTACTTTCTACACTCCCGTGACTTTGTGTGGTTTATATATGATGAATGGGGAATATGTTGTCATTTTGATGTGTCATTATAGTATATTTTCCCTATACAATCCGCTTTGGTCCCGTTGAGGACTGTTAACCACAAGCAAGGTAATGAGTATAAAATATGGCTGACGGAATTGTTATTGCAAATTGTAATAAAACAGTTATGTCGTCTTGGTAGGTCCCGAATAGGTTAGCATAATTTAATATCAAGGTTCACTTTTTCTGTTCCACTAAGTCACGTGAGTTTTGTCTTATTTTCTAGCATCGCGCAATTCTTTATGCTATTGCAAAAATACTGTAGTTTTAAAACAATTGCTTCTATTTGTACCTACTTCGCGTCATCTCGATTAAGTTTACTCAAGTGTATTGCTGTGTTTTTTGATTTACCGTTATTCAACAATACCACATAAAGTATTCTTATATCTGCATTGCTACATAGTTTCAAACGTGAAGGAGGAAAACAATTGGCGTGTTTTGATATATTAAATACTAGCTAAAAATCGCGACTTCGTCTGCGTTAAAAAAAATGAAAAATTAGCCTAAGTTACTCATAGATAACGTAACTTTTTTAACTTTTAATGGCGAAAGAATTTATAAAATCGGCCCAGTAACTTTAGGGATAACCCTGAATAATCCAATACATACAAAAATACAAATATTTTCTCTTTATAATATTAGTACAGATGGTAATTATTTAGCTAACAACTTTTGTCTATTGTCAAGAGAATGCAAGATGGCGTCGTGCCAATGACAGCGCGCCAGGAGTTTCACTTTCGTGTAGACTGGGGGCGCGCGCCTCGCGGCCTGATGACTGATGATTCACTGGACGATGCGCGTGCGTTACCTACAGAGCTAATGATTTATTGATATTTTCTTATTCAAATAGAATGTATCCAAGCATATAATCCTCTTATAACAAGTGAAACTATTCCTCAAATGACACATCACAAAATAGATGGATGTTTGTTAGAGTTTGTGGCCTAAACGTCTTAAAGGGTTTTGATGGAAATCGGTATATACGTTGAGGATGGTCTGGAAGAACAAGTTGGCTACCTACGTTTGTTTTTTTTAATTATACGCAGACGGAGTCGCGAGCAAAAGCTAGTATGTAACCGCCTTGTTACAAGTTCCATAACCCGAATGATTTTGTGTGAAAACCTACATGAATGGTAGCAAAAGTGACGACATTGATTGACGTCAATAATTTGCCGAGTGGTCGCCGCGGGTGTTATGTAATGCTGGCGTCTGCATCTCATTCGACTGGCGACACAACCAAGCTCGCTGTTCACAGAGAACTGTGACGTCGATGCATTGTGTTCTCGCCGTGAGCCTTTATCGCAAAACAATTGAATGCTCATTTTAAAGCACCTTTTATACCAACAGTGAGGTGACGTCACGTCTACGTGTGAACATTTCCACGTCCAATGTTTATTTTTAGGTTAGAAGATGATTGATGAACCACCATACTATGGGCGACACAGCCATGTTATGTTTTAATAAAATATAGTCTTCATTACCTCTTATGTTTTCTTCCAATTTGCACAGAATACCTTACCAATATGGCCGTCGTCTCGTCGAGCTAATGCAACACCCTTATTTTTGACATCCGACTACTATTCTATTATTAACATAACAAGCACAATTACGACATTTTAAAACCATGACATAAATATTTTAAATAATATTTTGGATCACCATTACAAAGTTATATCGTTATTTCAAACTATGACCAATGGCATTGATTTATAGCACAGACTAAAAAACCTTCAAGAGTACAGAATACATCAAAATAGTTAAAAAGCTAACAATACGTTACCATAGATATAGTTATCTGAGAAAACATTTCATCTCATGTATTGGTGCGATTAAAAACAGGCAAACTTTTCAATCGGCAAAGATACAAGTAAATTAAAAAAAATCAATTAAATTGCAATAATGTTGAGTAGGTGGTTAATATTGTGATTATCTTTCTTCAAAGAAAATTGAAACTCGTTAATTTCTAGATCACGGAGTTTTAGAATAATAAAACTTGGAACTTGTATTCTATGTAAAATTTTAATAGGCTTCATCAGTAAAACCTCTACCGTGAGATTAGTAGCTTATAACATTGACCTTCCCGAGATAATAGGCTTAGAAGAACTAGGATTAGCGTTAGTCTTAATAAAGTACAGTCACCTTCATTCGTGATGTTACAGTTCTCTAAGCTGTGCCCATTACAAACTGTTCTATTCTTGCAAATGATTATCCGTTGAAAACTATATAAGTCACGATCAAATCAGAAAATTTCTTGTAAATTTTATTGTATCCTTGTAATATTCAAGATAGTGTAAAAATACGCATTATTTTAAGGTAAAGTATATACAAATGTTTGTAGTTTTTAAGGCGGAACACCGCGAATGACGGCGAATGTACATAATGTGAATGTATAGAAAGAGGAGGTATGGAGGTATAGAATTTTTAGATGACGATAAGAGTCTTCAAATCTTTACAGTCAAACTAACTTTTAATGTAAAACTGAACACTGCAAAAATTACTGAAATTATGTCGATTTCCATTCAAATATTTGCATCTTACCTAGATTTTTAGTACTATTAGTATGAAATATTGTATGTTGTTGCAGTTGATGAAGCGGCTGCGGCAGGTGGTGGGCCAGCGAATGTTCGAGGCCATCATGAAGGCCACATTCTACGGACAGTTCGTTGCCGGCGAGGACCAGAACAAGATACGACCCACCATTGAAAGGTACCCCTCTCACATATTGAAAACCATTACGCGAACACTGTAATACGTAAAAACATCTTCGAATGAAAAGAAGGCATTACGTTCTTTTCATTCGAAGTTTTTTTACTGATAAAATGCATACGTACTTGTTACTTTATGAAAATTGACACAAATACTCTTTACTTAGATATCGAGTATTTATTTCAAGGTAGATTGAATCGAAATACGACCTAGCCATTTATAGTCTGTAACGAAAACCTAGTCAAACTGGTTTTAACTCTGAATCATTATTTATTTGAACATAACATCAAAACGAGAATAACTAAATGCTAAAGGTGTTCAAAATTGATTTATTTCAAACTCATAAAAAAGATATAAAAAAACGACTTTTTATTTTAAACAAATAACAGTATTACTCGTAACTGAAGATTTCTTCAATTATTTAATGATATAAAATGTTTTTATGCGCACTCATTTGTTTACGAATACTAAAACTTTTTTTTAAACGTAAACAAAGAATATTTTTATAATCTGTGACACCTAACCTCTCTCACCAACCTAAAATAATTAAAAAGTACAATATTGTAAGGCAGTATTTAATAATTTTTGGCGACAAATTGAGGTAAAACACGATAGGTAAACTAAATGTCTTCAGTACATAAATAATCTCAAACCTGGCACACTGATTTCATATTTTAGTGATGTTTTGGCAAATGTCACAATAGTTTCCGTATAGAAAAACACTATGTTTAATTTGGGACAAAGTGATGAAATGCCGGAGACAGCTCAAGGACGCCCTCTGTTTGACTTTTCGTCAAGTTTTTTTAAGTAATTGTACAAAACTATTTACGCATTATTAAAACCAGTCAGGATCACCTTTAGCTAGTTCAGTATTGGTAAAAAATCCCAATATTTAGTTTACATTTGTTTATATGTACATTTTTACAAATGCTTCAACTAAACTCGTCTCGCATTGTACAAACATGTGGGCGGCTAACAATTTCATCAATGTGAATAACGGCTAAGAAATCCGGACAACGCTTGTATAAACCAACGAAGGATTTATTTGTTTCTAATGTACCAACTTCTATTTAAATATTATCTAATATGAAACTGCCAGAGTTGATAATTTTGATTATCTAATTTGCACGTTGCAGGCTGCGCTCATTCGGAGTAAAGTCCATCTTGGATTACTCCGTGGAGGAGGACCTATCGCAGGAGGAGGCGGAGAAGAGAGAAGTGAGGTGAGTAAGAAAGCATCGTCATATAAAACTAGCTCATAAATACTCGCGTAGGATTTGTATCTTAGCTCAATTAATACGCGTCCCTCAGAAATTAAATGGACAATGGCAGCACTAGTTGTCTACACTGATCTGTATAAATAGGTAGGTTATTGCTTAGAATGGACATAAACCACCTTTTTGATGTATTATGGACAGTTAAGCCTATCTCCTATAAATCCGAAACCTCATCACCGATAGAAATCGGAGCACAAAATTCCGCGTTTTATAGTCTGTCCGTTTGTAGAGGTCAATGGTTGCCTGGCATTGGTTGCTATGGTGATTTAATCAATATTCGACATATTGTGCAGTCATTAGAGTTTGTTATCCAAAACAATGGAGACAAATCGTTTTACGTAAGAGGCGGATGTTACTTATTGTTTTCTTATTACTCTATTACCATGACCTTCATGGTTCTCATTACTTAAAGTATTTTAAATTTAAGGCGTAATCGTGTATAATTAATTTTCTCGGCATGTTTCCGTGCGGCGACAATTTTGAGTTTATTTTTTATCTTTGACGCTGTCCTTGAATCTGTATTACATTGTAGTTTGTTGTAATGTTTCTCATATTGTCATGTCGTAACAACCACCTATTCTATTGTACAACAAAATGCACAGTTTACGTACAATAAATATATTGTGATTGCTTTCGTAGAACAAAATGCAATCTTCTGAACATAAATTCTACAGTAGTTTAATAGAAAAAAATATGAATAGTTTTACTGCAGATAAAATGTAAAAAATCTAATTACGTGATGAATTCAAAGAAAACGTAATTAACCCGCGCTGTCAAACGCCATCTATTGTTTTTGCATATCGACTGAATGAAACAGATTGATTCGTTTTTGTGTAGGTGTGAAAGAGATGCACTAATTGGCTGTTTCGCGGGAAACTCATAATTGTGCCGCAGGATAGAACAATGTGCTTTATGCTACTTGTAAGATTACCACAATTCTCGCAAGATTTGTGCTGATAATTTGAGGTTAGGTTTAGAGACGTATTGAAAAATGCAATAATTAAAGAAATATGTTACCAGAATTAAGAAGACACATTTCTCAGTTGCCATAAGCATTGAATCCTATAGGAATTATTCTATATTTCTGTCTTCGCGGTAATATCCTTGTTACCATCATCTCAGCCGCCATTTTACGATAATCTCTTACTACTTTTTGTAACCCAACTACATTGTTATATTTTGTCTTGATAAAGCATCTTCATTGTATTTCTTTCTTCATTAGTTACAGTTAAACATATATTGTCACACTTATTAATAGCTTTTCATTATATTAAAATATAATAACATGCAACAAAATACGTACAAACAATACGACGACGTGTGGTCGATCGTAAACGTGTTCTGAAGAAAGACTACAGACTTTATATTATTTTCCCATTGAGATAAAAACAAAACCCAACAACGTAACACTATTATATGAAAACGATAATATTATGAAAGGTTTATTGTGACTTTACTAGTATTATCTACTAGGAAAATTAAAACAATTATATGAAAGATAAAATAAGAATGGCGAACATGTCTCAAGTATAGGTTAACTGGATATAACTGTAGTAATCTAAGTTAATTATAACACCTAATTCATTATTTTGCCATTAAATTTAAGCCATAAACATGCGCAGTACTTCATTAACTTCTGACGGCAAAACGGCAAAGCGCTTTGCTCTGAAATAGCGAGCAAAGAACCTCTTTTTCAGCTCGACGTTTCCTGCTCAGAATGCTTGCTTTTTATATAATTATCCGGTTTTCATTTCCAAGTTTTAGTGAATAAAACTTTGCAACGTTGTCCCATTTCTTTCTACTCTTTGAAAATACATTTTTGAAAAACCTAAAACCATCTGGATTACATCTTGTTGTTTGTCTTAGACTAGAATTCCGATGCATAATATTGAAGACCACTGAATTTAGGCAATAATCTATTGGCGTAAAAAACAAAACGACTTCTATGTTGTCTATAGCCGTCAGGAACTCATGAAATCTTTCATTAAAATATATTGAACTTTATTGCATTGGTATTAGGTTTACATTGCTTTATATACCGTGTTAAGCAATCGATAGTTTAGGGTGAAATGTGACGTCACGCGCACGCAGCGGCTGTCGACGCGTACAAATTAATTTGCCGCCACAAGCTGAAGTCGTGTCCGCCATTGGTTGACGCACGTCAGACACCACCTCACATGATTGATTGCTCAAGATGACAACATACGTGTCATATTAGTAGAATCTATTCTTATATCTTCTTAATATTATAAATGGAAAGGTTTAGATGGATGAATGTTTGTTAGAGTTTGTCGCTCTAACTGCTGAAAGGATCTGGATGAAATTTAGCATAGACGTAGATGACAGTCTAGAAGAACACATAGGCTACTTACTTTTGTCTTTTTCAATTTCACGCGGACGGAATCGTGGGCGAAAGCTAGTGAAATATGTAAAAGCCTATATGAAAGTGATGGAGATAAACTTGTAAAATGTATTGGAAATTCAAACGAGGTTATTTAATTCATTTTTTTTTTGTGTTAAAGACGAGAGAAATTGTTAAAACTTTGCAAAGTATAACCTCGATAATCTGATTTGTAGGTCAGTGTAAGCTTTTTGCTTTGCCAATGTACAATAGAAAGTGACAATCTGGACGTGTGCCAAAATATTATTCATCGTTATCGCTATTGTCACTAAGGCCGGGAATACAAGTAGACGGCACTGTAGCATTCCAGCGACTGGCACGTGACAACTACAGGCATTTCTGAACGCTTACTTACATGACAGTACCTGGCACAAAAGTTTATTTTGTAACAACTATGTGTAAGTCGAGGAAGGGTCGATTGGGGATACGCAACTTGACATTGACATCTCTTATCTCATACGATTTAATTGCGCCAGTAACTGGCATGCTAGATATTACCTGTGTATTTCCGCCTTTATACGTAGTAAAGTTTTTCGTGCAGTTTGTAGGTGACCTTGTTAGCGGATCTATTTTTTGTCGAGCACTCGCTAAGTTTGTTTTAGATTGACGTTACCAGGTCGAATCTAATCGTTCAAAGTCATCACATATGAGAAATATAATGCGGTTTTTTATTAACGTGATCGTATTCAGGAAATCGCAATGAATTGCGTTTTATTTACGTCCAAATAATTTTATTAAAATGAACACTAATTCGGATTATTGTTTAGTTTTACGAATAGTTGCGAGCATTGACATGACTTGGCCTTGTTCGTGTAATACTCGTACAAATGTTTTAATATAGTAATTCAATCCATACATTGTTTTAATAGTCGTGTGTGGTATAGTGTATAGTTAGACACAGCCTTATTAAACATTAAACATTATTGTTTTAATATAAATTTACGATGGACTGTTTGTAGCTCATAGATATAACAATTGACAAGTACGATTGTAAACTGAACGTAAAATAATTTATAATATGTGTTTGTGACTTTATAGTGACTTCGTACGTGTGGTATTAGAAAATATACAAACTATAAAAATTACAAAAAGCTACGTATCCCTCGAGATGAAGCTTATCCCATGTGTACTCCGCACTTTGTTTTATATCTGTGCCAAATTTCAATAAGATATGTTGCAGAATGATCGAGTAAACATTAAAAAACTAAATTAATGAATCCCACGGGAACCGTAACTATTCCAGGGATAAAAAGTAGCCTATGTGTTCTTCCAGACTATGTTCTAAACCTGTGCCAAATTTCATGGAGATCCGTTCAGCCGTTTAGGCTACAAACGCTAACAAACATCCATCCATCCATCCATCAATCCATCCATCCAGCCATCCATCCATCCATCTATCCATCCATCCATCCATCCATCCATCCATCCATCCATCCATCCATCCATCCATCCATCCATCTAAACTTTCGCATTTATAATATTAGTAAGATTAGTAAGGTTATCTACAGTTTTAATATACAATGTGTTGTTTACGCGGGCGGGCGTTGCGATGTTAGCACAGCTTCATAGATAACGTAACCTTCACTATTTTAAGTAGAACTACCGTAGAATTCTTGCTGTTAGGTTTTTACTAGAATGTAAAAGTTAAAAAAATATAAAAGTGTCCTCTTAAAGTACATTTATGATAGTACCTTTAGCTATTATGAATAACAATGACGAGTGAATTCTGCGCAATATTCAAAATCTAGACTAATTAAAATTCCACGTTCGAGAATTCAGAAATGTTCGAGACTAAAATCATTCGCGTAACATTCTCACCGAGCGGTTCGTTGCTCGCTAGTGTCCCCATAACACTACGTTCTGACTGCATCTTTGCTCGCTGTGTAACTTGTTATATTACACCGCGTAATAACATTCTGTATGCACCTTAACACATTATCACGGTAATTGTACGAATCGGGAAAGGTATAATCAATAATGAGCTATAAAATGCAGTAATTTCACAGTTTGTTTACAACATGATTGTGACGTATTCATTGGTTTTTATAGTTAAATAACATTCTTTCATCAGCTTGTTAATAAGCTGTAGTCTTCATTATGCGTTTGGCTACATCTTTCAATAAATCTAGCTTATAGCGAACTATTAAATCGAACTGCTTATCTTAAGTATTATTAGACAACTTATTAAATTGATACTGTCGCTTTTAACTCAGAGCAATACTTCTCGTGAAGACTCAAGTTACGCGCCAATCTATCCTTACTTCTAGTGACATTGACAGCTGTCAGATAGGGACGTGCCGCTTATGCCGACAATCCAGAGTTGCGCCAATTCCACAGCACAGTACTAATTTTATTCCTAACAGTATTTAAATCGTTTTTTCTTTAATAAAATAAGAACCATATTTTCTTACTAAACTGATAAGCATTTCCTAGTCTGGTAGGGTCATTTAAAATTAGATAGATGTAGATGTAGAAGGGGATGGGAATGCTGAGGTGGGGCGCATTGTCCGCAGCGCGTCGATATCCGCGTGCGGCGACGCGGCGGAGGAGGGCCAGCTGCGGCAGTACCACGTGGAGCAGCGCTTCGCAGACCGTCGTTACAAGGTCACCAGCGCGCGCACCTATTTCTACCTCAATGAGGCCTCCTGCGAGAAGAACATGGAGCACTTCCTGCGGAGCATTGAGGCCGTCGCCGGTACGCACACCACACAATCTATCTCCCGTCTTACTTCATCCTATCCGACCATTCGATCGCCCACACGTCTTTTGACTGTGGTACTGATTTTACCTTTTTAAAATAAATTTATTAAATGTTCCAGGTATCACCAAAAGCACGGGTCTGATGGCCATCAAACTCACCGCTTTAGGAAGGCCCCAGTTACTTGTAAGTTAGCGAATTATAAAACATCACTTAAAAATATCACTTAAAGTGATTTTGTCTACTATGTGTTCTTGTAGTAAGCTAAGACAACGGTTTAAACATCAGTTTACAGGCAGTATATAGCCTAGCTGCCCGTTTTCACAGTAGTTTTATTAACATAAGCTTTCGTTGGTACATTCCAGCTCCAGCTGTCGGAGGTGATAATGCGCGCCCGTAACTACATGCAGCAGATCGCGGGCGGCACGGGCAACGTCCTCACACACCACAAGACCATCGAGGACTTCCAGCGCTACTTCGGCGACCACGGCAACAAGCCCGAGGTGCAGGAGTTCATGCGGAAGATCACCTCGGACAAGGAGGGGTAACCGACACACACGTTTCTATACTACTTAATAGGCGCACAATTCTTCTAGAACTATCTTATGGCTTAGTTTGTATTCTGCGATTATCTTTTTATTTATTCGCACAATTGTAGAATTTTCATTTTTTATTCGTACAGCGACATAACAATAATAAGTGTTGAGGGTTTTTCTTCCAGTACAGTGCCACGATCTCACAGAATACTGATGTTCTTTTGATTAGCGAAGCGCCGCAGTCTCAACCTCTCTCCCTTATTTATTCCCCATAAGGTGGCAGTGGTCACTATAATGTAAGGCCTATAAAGGTCACCGACTATGAGCAGCTGCTGAGGTGTTGTGGTGTTTCAGCGTGCTGCACATATTCCCGTGGGACCGGTCAGTGGCGGCGACTTGTAGATTCGTAAGGGTTGTCTCGTAACGTCGCTAACTACCCCATACCCCCTACCCCCGCAACCCAATTGCAAACTTGCTAGGGAATTCCGATTACTAGTCCGAAACGCTGGGACTTGTCATCGGAGTTTCTCCATCCCCGCATCTTATTGATTGTCGAATGTGAATTGGCTTCAAAAAAGAGTGACAAATTGTTTCGTTGTGCCGCTAAAGCTGGATCTGTGTGACAATAAGAGCAAGATTCTGTATGTGCTAGACACTGACGTAACTTGTGGTAGTGGCTTAGCTTGTGCAGTGTGTCTCTGCGCCGCTCGCACTGCTACTGACTATCGTAGCATTGGATGGCTGCTATTTATCAATTGATACCGGTTTAAGAGCCCTGATAGTCCTGATTCACTTTGAACTAAGTTAATCGATTTTTTCGATGATCGTAGCTACATAAGGTTTTGTTTCTAAAACCAAAAAAATAATTTTGATGACAAGGACATTAGGTAGAAAATGTATGTGTTCTATTAATACTAGTACAGTATATTAACTGCGGGCCCGCGTGTTGCAGCATCGTGCACCTGTTCCCGTGGTCCAACATCCTGGACAAGGACATGAACCTGTCGGACTCGTTCCGGGTGCCGGACCCCAAGACCGGGCAGATGCGGCGCCTCATCTCGCAGATCTCGCCCAAGGAGGAGGAGATGTTCCGCAACATGCTGCGCCGCCTCAACCACATCATCACGCTGGCCAAGGACGCCGACGTGCGCGTCATGGTGGACGCCGAGCAGACCTACTTCCAGCCCGCCATCTCCCGCATCTGCCTCGAGATGATGAGGAGATATAACAAGGTGAGCCTGCGCCCTCTCCTCTGCGACGCATCATGACGAGCTAGCACTGCCGACTTCCTAACTGTCCGCTTGCGTGCCGCAGGACAAGTTCGTGGTGTTCAACACGTACCAGA